TAGGGAATAATTATTATACTTTATTATTAATAGATATCTCTAATAATAAATTATTATATATACTTAGGTAGAATTTATTATCTATAAATAGAATAGGGTTATTAAAATATTATACCCTATTAATAAAATAACCTATATAGTAAAATAAGGTAATTTATTACTTATTAAAATCTTAGAATATAATAAGTAATTCTTAGATAATAAAAAAATAAATAAGTAATAAATATTAGAGGAATTATAATATAACTTTATATACGAAATATATAGCTATTAATTCTATAGATACTAAGGAATTAATAAAACCTTAGAATAAATTAAAATAATATATATTTTCCCTAATATAAAGAAAATTATTATAATAATTATTAATTAATATAACCTTTATATAAAAACTAAGGCATAATATTATAAATTATATAGTAAATTATAACCCCTATTAATACCTTAGTTATTATAGGAAGTAATTATAATAGATTTTATTATTAAATTACCCCTATTAGAAAAACTAGCTACTAAGAACTTCTATAATAATATCCTTATTATTATAGATAGACTTATAAAATTTTTCTATTTTATACCCTATAGGGAATTAATAATAGCTAAAGAATTCGCCTACCTCTTTTATTTTTATATTATTAAAATATATAATATATTACTCGAGATTATTATTAACCGAGGATTATTATTTATATCTAAGTTTTAATAAAGCCTTATAGGATACTTAGGAATTAATTATAAGCTCTTTATAATATATTATAAAAAGATAAATAGATAAATAGAATATATAAACTAAATATTAGAATAATACCTTTAATGCTATATTAATTATAAATAAACTAACTAAGTTAAGAAGCTATTAATTACTTAGCTAGCCTATAATATAGCTATAAATAAAAGCATAAAGACTATATTAATATATATAAACTTTAGATTTATATTAAATATTTATTAATAATTATGAGATATTATTATTAACCCTAAAGTAATCCTTATTAGTAATTAATTATATAACCTTTATAAGGAAATATATATAGAACTCGAATTTATTAAGAATAGAATAATAACCTATATTAATAAAAAAAGGATTAAGGGATTAATCTTCTTAGAGGGAGATATAATCTACTTTATAATAAAAAATATTAAAATAAAATAATAAAATAAAAAACTTAACTATAAGTATATTAGACCTTATAAAATTAAATAAAAAATCTTAAAATATAATTATAAATTAGATTTATTACCTAAGGTTAAGCTTTATTTAATCTTTTATATTTTATTACTTAAATTAATAGAAAATACTATCTAAGTTAAGACTAATAATAAATTATAAATAGAAGTTAATAGACCTAAAGAATATATTATAGAAGCTATCCTTAATATAGATAAAATTAATAATAAAATAATATATTTTATTAAATAAAAAAATTATTTAAACTTAGAAAGTATATAAGAACCCTTAGAATACCTTATAGGTATATAATACCTTTTAAAGGATTTTTATTAGTAATATTAAATATAAGCTTATTAAGATTAATAATATTCTAATTAATTAAATTAATAGCCCTAAAAGAATATATCTTAATAATAGTAGATAACTCTTTATAGAGTTTATTTAACTCCTTTAAAGTATATAAATTATACTTAAAGGCCTTATTACCCCGCGCCTTAAGTAACTTCTTTTACTTCTAGATATAAGTAAACTTAGCTATTATCTCCTCTAGGGTAGCCTCTACTTTAGCCTCTTTATTTTTTAAATATTTATATTCTTAGATATTTTTTATTATTATAAAAAGAATTAGCTATCTATAACTAGAAATACTAATATATACTTATAGAAAGAAGCTATATTAGCTTTATTATATATTACCTTTGCGTCGATATAATTAGAATAATAATTAGAATAATTAGAAATTACCTTATAGGATAAACCCCGGCGGAAATAGTAAATATAAGGTATAATTTTAGTATTAAAAGCCTTAATATAGGTAAAAAGGCTTTATACTTTAGAAAGTTTTTAAGAAGAAATATACTTAGAAATTTAACCTAATATTATATTAATAAAAATAAGGTTTTTTATAAATTAGAGTTATTTACTATAAATACTTAGTTATAAAAATTAGCCTTAAGGATAAGATTAATAGAGGGGGAGCCTTATATTATAGCTATAATAAGGACTAGGCGGGGAAGGCTAATAGAAAATACCCTTATTAAATATAGGCCGAAGGGACTAAGTATTATTCCCTCTAATCTATAGACTAAATATTAGAAATATTAGTCTTACCTTAGACTAAGCTATAAGGATATTAGTCTAAGGATAAGATATAAATATATAGGATATATTTATTAGTACTTTCTTATATATTAGCTACCTTAGCTATTAATATAACTTAATTATACTTAATACCTTTAAGTATATTACTAGATATAATACTATATTAACCTTTAAGGCTATATAATATAATCTAATACTAATATAAACTAATATGATCGGTTTATCCCTTAGGAATTACCCCCTCGTTATATTAGTCGTAAGAAGCGGTCTTAAGGATAAGACTAATAGAGGGGAGACCTTATATCACGGCTAGGATATATACTAGGCGGGGAAGCACGGTAGAACTACCTAACTAAGTAAGGGACTAAAGGGACTAAAGGGACCGAACTTTATTCTTCTTAGTCCATAGACTGACGGTTAAGAATATCGGTCTTACCCTAGACTAAACTCCTTAAATATTAAACTAAAGGTTAAACTATAAGTATATAGAATATATCTATTAGTATCTTCTTATATATTAGCTACCTTAGCTATTAATATAACTTAGTTATACTTAATACCTTTAAGTATATTACTAGATATAATATTATATTACCCTTTAAAGCTATGCAATATAATCTAGTGCTAATATAAACTAGCATGACCGGTTTATCCCTTAGGACCCTTATAATTATTATATCTTAGCTCTTTTATTAGACCTTATAAAAGACCTATAGGAATTCTTTAATTTATTATAACTTAGAGCTAATATAAAAATAATTAGGCTTAAAGATATAATAAAAGCCTTATTATATAGGCTCTCTAAGTTATAAAATAAGAGAGCCTAGAGGAATAGGCTTAGGTAGCCTTATAAGGTCTTTTTAGCCCTAAAGAAAATTAAGCTTAATAGCTTACTTTAGGATAAGCTTAATCTCTTAGAGGGAAAGCTAATAAGGCTATTAATAAAGGTATTATTAAATTTAATTAATAAAAACTATAGTTTTATAGGTCTTATAAACTAAAAGGGAAAAAATAAAAATATAAGTAAAATAATTTATAATTATAAGGCTTATAGATAATTAAGGTATAAATAGAGATAGAAATTAAAGATAAATAATTAAGAAAAATTAAAGTCTTTATAAAAAAATAAAAAAAAAATAAAAAAAGAGGTTAAAGCTTATTAGCTAAGAAATAAACCTAATTATAGCTAGCGAGGTAATTAGTATAGCTAGTAGCTAGGTTATAGCGGTAATTAGAGAGTTTTAATATAGCGCTAATTATATTAATTACCTTATTAAAATTTCTTTAAATTCCTTTTAAAAATTAATAAGTAATTCTAAAAAAATCTTATAAAAAAAGGACTTTAATTTTAAGATTCTTATAGCCTAAAGTTATATATATCTTCTTTATATAACCTTAATCTTATTAGAACCCTCTTTTCTAGAAACTATTAGCTAATTAAGAAAAAAACTATTAGCTGCCTTATAGTTTATTAGTATAAAAAATTCTTCCTATAAAAAAAAACTATTAGTAGCTTAACCGATAGTTTTTATAGGTATTAGGATTATTATTAGAATTAAACCTGTTTTTACTATGTAGCTAGGTTAGATAAAAGAGGTAATAGGTTCGCAGTTATCTGACTTACCTAACTTGAAACGGTCGTCGCTATTGGATTACTTTTCTACCCACGTGACGCCTTCGATGCATGCAGCTCAAACCCAACCCAGTTCGCTCGTCAGAATCAGGCTGGCAATCTTCCCTGCCCAATTCTACCTCTTCCGAACCAGCAGCCACTATATATCGCCATGCAATAATGGCGGCACGCTGGACCCAAGGTGACCGACCGACCCCTTCCGATTCCGCACTCGAGAAAGGAAGTCGTCCAAGTGGCCGCCATGCGTCTGTGTCGTCCCTCGACTACGGAGACTACACAATCGCCTGGATCTGCGCCCTTCACTTGGAACTGGCTGCATCGCGGGCCATGCTCGACGAGGAACACCAGCCCTTACCTATGTATGCTAGTGACGATAATACGTATGTGCTAGGACGCATTGACCACCACAATGTGGTTATGGCATGCTTGCCAGGGGAGTACGGGACGAACAATGCTGCAATTGTCTCGACCAACTTGAAGCGAAGCTTCCCAAATATCCGCGCTACCCTCATGGTCGGTATCGGCGGCGGATCACCTCGCATGGCCAACATGTACCTTGGCGACATTGTTGTGGGCACGCGAGTGATGCAGTACGACATGGGAAAAGTTGTCGCCAGTGGGCGGTTTGAAGAAACGACCGACTCCAGACTCCCTTCACAGCTGCTGCTCTCCGCAGTTTCTAACCTGAGATCAAATCATGGACCCCACGGCCCAAGCTTCAGAGTCAACAACCTACTGCTAGACAGAATGTCAAACTATTCTCGTCCTACCCAGCATGATCTCCTTTTCCAAGCAACCTATGAACATCCTACTGGTGCACCTACCTGCAGCGAGTGCGACAAAGAGAAGCTGCTGCAACGAAGTGTTCGCTCGTTTGAAGAACCCAGGATACATTACGGAGTTATTGCCTCGGGCAATATGGTCATGAAGAATGCCACTATTCGGGACGACATTGCAACCCGACTCTCGGCGCTATGTTTCGAGATGGAGGCCGCTGGTATGATGGACAATCTGCACTGCCTCCCCATCCGGGGCATTTGCGACTATTCAGATTCCCACAAGAATAAGGAGTGGCAGCCTTATGCTGCTGCAACTGCTGCTGCATACGCTCGGGAGCTTCTGGAAGTGCTTCCTCCTGTTCTCCAAGAAACCTCTCCCTACCAGAACAAAGAACGGCGCGGCCGTGCGACCGACGCTATGTACGATCAAGAAACCAGGGAATACCTATGGCGGCGACGGCCGAGGCTGCTTAAATCCCTCAGTTTCCACGGAATGGATGACCGCAAAACAATGATTGGGGCGGTGCACTCCAAGACATGTCACTGGTTTCTTGAACACCAGGCGTACAAGAATTGGCTCAACCCCGCGATGCAATCAGACAATTCCGGCTTTTTATGGATGCGAGGAAAGGCCGGTGCCGGAAAGTCGACCATGATGAAGTTTGTCTATTTACAGGCCAAACGCTCCAACGAACCCCTTACGACTATTGCATCCTTCTTTTTCAATGCCCAAGGCGAATACTTGGACAAGTCCATCTCAGGCATGTACCGATCTTTGTTGGGGCAACTTCTCTATGCCTTCCGTGATCTTCAAAGAGTTCTGGATGATACCGACATTATTCCTCTTGGTCAGACGAGCTGTCCTCACTTGAATGCACTAAAGGAGCTTCTGAGGAACGCCATCCTGGAACTTGGTGAGCGCTCCTTTACTTGCTTCATTGATGCCCTCGACGAGTGCGATGAGCAGGAAGTGCGTGACATGGTTCAGTTCTTTGAGGAGTTGGTGGAGAATACCGTGGAGAAGGGAATTCAATTCAGGGTCTGTTTTTCGAGCCGGCCATACCCTTATATCGAAATCCGTCAAGGTATCTTGGTTACACTTGAGGACGAATCGGGTCACAGACAAGACCTGTCGCGGTATGTCAAGAATCGTCTGAAGATCCAAAGTCCAACGATCTTGGAAGAAGTTAAGACCCAGATTCTACGAAAAGCTTCTGGGATCTTTATGTGGGTTGTTTTGGTTGTGGAGATCTTGAACAAAGAGAGCTGCGATGGCGCCCTCGCTATTCAGAAAAAGCTTGTTCAGATTCCATCCAAGCTGAGCGACCTCTTCAAGAGTATCCTGACCCGCGATCGAGACAACCCAGAACGGTTACTCTTCTGCGTTCTCTTAATTCTCTGCGCGGAACGGCCTTTGACTCCGATGGAGTTTCGCCATGCCTTGTGGGCGGGCTTGTTAGAGCAGGATCTTGTCGACCCCAATCTACCGGACGCAGATATGGATTCTAGTGTCAAACTGGTCACGAGTTCCTCCAAAGGGCTTGCGGAAATCACGAAATCTGCCCATCCAAGCGTGCAGTTCATTCACGAATCAGTACGAGACTTCCTATTGAAAGAAAGAGGCCTGCAAGAGCTATGGCCTAACCTCGGATTTGAGTGGGAGTATCCCAGTCATGACTGGCTTCGAAGGTGTTGCATGGAATACCTCAATCAAACAACAGTTCAAGTCACTGCTGGTCCGACCACGCAGAGACGATTTGACCCAAGAATGCCAATAGATGCATGTCCTTTCTTAGGTTATGCAATTAGCCATATTCTCAAACATGCCGATGCCGCTGCAGCTGCGGTTCCCCAAGACAGCTTTTTAGCGCAATTCTTCAGCTCGGATTGGTTCAACATTTTCAATCAATTTGGGGACCACTATGGCCCAAATGCAAGTCCCCTTTATATTCTTGCGGACAAAGGGTATGGCAAACTCATACGCACACGTTTGCGAAGGGAGTCGTCCAAGTATGTTCCTGGGCAAGATTACGACTGTCCCTTTTTTGCCGCATTGGCCAAAGGCCATGAAGGCGCCATAGCCGCTCTCGCAAACCTGCCCTCGCCTGTCTATGATTGCGTAAACAGTGGCAACGACCAGGATTTCTATCCCGATTCATGGAAGCCTTGGAGGTTCAGGGATCGAACCCTATTGTCATGGGCAGCCCAGGAGGATAGACCCGGGATTGTGAGAGCCTTGATCCAAGGTGGGACATCGATGGAAGAGGAGGATAGGGGGCAGTATCGGCCGCTTATGAGGGCCCTTGAACAAGGCCATTCAGCTGTCGCCAAGATTCTAATTTACGAGGGAGCAGATGTAAATGCCAGGCACAGCAGGTACGGATGGTCAGCGCTCATCTGGGCTTCGCGTCGAGGGGACGAACCAATAGCTCGGCTTCTTCTTGACGAAGGGGCAGATGTCAACGCCAAAGATATGCATGGGTGGACAGCATTGATATGGGCATCAAGCGGTGGTAATAGAACTATAGCCCAGCTTCTTATCGCGAAAGGCGCGGATGTTCGCGTGACGAGTAACTTTGGGTGGACGGCGCTCCAGTATGCTATGCAGCAAGGGCACCGGGAGCTCGTTCTTTTGTTGGAAAGGGGGCAAGCGGGTAAAAAATATGCTTGAGTTCTTTATATTTTGTTTCTTGGATGATGCTTCTTTTTAAGTTTTATATCGTATATTCTGTGTACATCGCTGAACATAACCACTTGTTTATACTTTCTCCGATTTCAACGAAGAAAGGATCTTTTAGAACACTGTTTTCAGAGTAAGGTATGCTTTAACCATATATTTACGTAAAGGCGAGGCGACAGGTGCCATTCCGCAAATCTCATCCTGCAAATGGGCACCTCCAACGCATTGTAGTTGTCATCATGGTTGGCCTGATCAACATGATACCCACCTCGATCAGTGGGCAAGTTGACGGCAACACAAGCCAAACAACGACACCCATTTCTTATTCCTCCAACATGCATGCATCCTGAAGACGCAAGGAACCATGCCCGTGCTCCTTGCGTGCATCTTCCGACACACAAGCCTCGTCTGTTTCAGCGTAGCCTGGATTCATACGGCTCTAACTAGTAAGTCTAGAAATTAGCTGCTGATTGTATAAATTGGATGAATCGTTTTCCTCAGACTGCACACAACTTGTATTACACGTATGTATACTAAACGAAGTTCCCTGGCCCAGTCTTCAAGTTAAATAGCCGCTAACGAAGCAAACCAGGACTTGAAGAGAGCAATTTGATCATCACGTGCAATGATCTTGGGGCCCCAACCGCCACCAAGCTCCTGAGTCGTGGTTGTGCTGGCATTGACATTGTCCCAGTAAGTCAAACCATCGCCATTGGGGTTGCCGTATTTGATAAAGTTTACCCAGTAATTGCTCATCTTTTCAGCAATCTCATAGTCCTCTTCCTCCCATTCACCGTAGTATACATTGTAGAGGTTGTATTGCGTATACTGAATTTCCGTCATGTGGGCAGCGCCGGCGTTTTGTCCTGGAGGAGCGTGATCCCAAAGATAGGTCCATACCGGGCTGGTTCTGTTGCTCAACCAATAGTTGGCCCAAAACTGTGTGCCAACCGTGGAACGATCAGTGTATTGTGCATTTTGGGCAGCGGAAGCAGTGGTGGAGTTGTTTGCCGGATAAGCGTCGAAGAACTTGTCCGCAAATCCGTTTGTATATGTGCTGTTTAAACCCGAAAGGTATTCTGCAAGTGTGATGTTCAACCCATAAGAAGCGCCACTTTCGTCCCTTGTGTTGCCTGTCAGGATGGGAACATCGTGAGCTAGACCAAGTTTCAGCGTGTTCAAATAAGTATCAGGCATGCAGTAATAGTCGAGGGTTCCCTTGAATGATGCGCCAGCTGTGCCTCCACGCTCAGAAGTATCGAGGGTCTCCATTGGCAAGGAGCGCATGCAACTAATCGTGGAACAGTTGACACTCTCCATAAAGGAGAGGCCGTATTCCTCGGCGACGTCGTAGGTCTGGTAGCCTTCAGCCAGCTCGACAGCGGATGGATCGTGGGGATCACGAAGACCACTTTGGATAATGGCGCCGACAATCTTGCCTTTGGTCAAGGGACTGTTGAGAATGTGATAGGTCGCAGCAGAACCAGCCGATTGACCCATGACTGTAATGTGGTCAGGGTCACCACCAAAGGAGGCAATGTTGTCTCGCACCCACTGCAGAGCAGCAAACTGATCTAGCATGCCCCAATTTCCAGAGCTGTTGAGGCCGATGGTGGCTAGGTTCTCCTCTGTCAACTCGGGGGACACAAGCCAACCGGTTGGGCCAGTACGATAGTTGTAATTGACAAAAACAACGCCCTTGTCAGCCAATCCAGCACCATCGAAGCGAGGATCAGCGTTAGAGCCGCCGGCAGGGTAGCTCCACAGGACAACAGGCAGCTTGTCATCCGTAGAGTTGGCTGCGCTCCAAACGTTGACGTTCAAACAGTCTTCACCAATCGTGGCATAGGTGGTGCCAGACGATGGACAAGAATAGCCATAGTCCTTGGCGTCCAAAGTTATGTTCCAAGCTGTGACTTTTTGAGGAGGACGGAAGCGGTTTTCCCCCGACGTGTCGGCAGCAAAGGGGATGCCTTTCCTGTATCACAACTGTTAGCACCTAGTTAACATTTCAGCCCGCGCCTTTTTGTGCCTACCAGACAGTGACTTTTTGCCAATTGGTGAGATTCAGACCGGCAATAGTGCTGTTAAAGGCCGGATAACCTTGGACAGGGCCACTGGGGGTTTGGATCACGCTCTCATATAGGACTGCCCTAGCGACTGAACAAAGTAACCCAAAGACAGTGGGGAAAACGACATATGTGTGCATGGTAGATGTTTGCAGTATATAACGCGTAAGACTAGCTTGATTCGAGGGAGCTATCATTAGATAGAAAAGGGAATCTTATCAGAGGGGAAGTACTCTATATTTTAATTCCTGCCCAGAGCAAGTCAGTATAGCGTACAGCCCCTTTGCAGCAAACATATATTTTTTAGCTGACGCGTCAAAACCAGCTATGACATGCATGCGGCAGAAGCGTACGCGTCCAATTAGACCAGCGTTTTAAGAATCAACCCGGTACTACGAGTTCATATACGTAGTACTTAGGTTGATTACTTCCGCCGTACGTCAGTCCTGCCCCTAAATTAGGCCTAATCGTTATGGGGCTGTTCCGAACCAATGATTCAACGAGAAAAGTAATCCATTAAGACAGCCAATGCCATAACACATGTTACAAGAGTGCTTATTGAGGGTTCTTAACAAGATCAAACCTAGAACTCGGGACAGCCCCACATCGACAAATCTCGGTCTTATTCTAGGTAGTACTCGGAGAAAATCTAGCAACTACTACCTACCCATCTCGGAACGACTCCAATTGGTTGCCATGAATACAAATACCAGGCCCTTTGCTTGCCTAGGTGGCCACTACGATTCCTCGTTCGTTTGCCTTTGCCTGACCATCATACGAGTTAATCCATGCAGGTCAAAATGCGCCCACTAATCGCTATCCTTGTCAACTTCGCATTTGGCCTTGCTTGGGCCAGCTGCCCCTACGCCGAACACTACACTTCCCCAAAGCCACGGGCCGATCACCATGATTCCATGCACTACGGGGTTTCCGACGGCAAGAGAGGCATCTTCTACCTCAACCGTATCGCACCGTCCGGGTCTCTGCTTTACGTGGCCAACGCCGACGGCAGTGACGCAAAACCTTTGATGAATAATGGATCGGCAGCCTTCGATTTTCACGCGTCCTGGTCTCCAGGGGGCAAGTGGATCGTCTTTAGCAGCGAGCGTCGTGCCGATGGTCAATCCGATATATACAGAGTCAAACCTAATGGCTCTGAGCTCGAGACATTAGTGCAGACTGACTCGTTCGAGGATGCCGGCGTGTTGTCGCCCGATGGTACTACCCTCGCATATGTTTCGACTCAAGGCAACTACACTGCCAATATCTGGGTCAAGGACTTGAGGACTGGTATTGCCAAGAACCTTACTAATACTGCATCGACCCGAGGAGATCGGTCAAGTCCTCAAGGCCACTTCCGGCCTGCCTGGTCTCCCGATGGCGAATGGATTGCATTTAGCTCCGACCGGAATACGGAATGGACTGGCCACAGCGACGGGACCGGCTGGGAGCATACGCAGACTCTTTCCATCTACATTATCCGCCCTAATGGATCCGACTTTCGAGCAGTCGCTAGCAAACCTGGCTATGCGCTTGGCTCGCCACAATGGTCTCCAGATGGAAGCCGCATCCTCTACAGTTCGATATCTACCGAGGATACTTACGGCGCGCACGGTGTATCAAATCAAATGGAGGCCCTATCGGGGCAAATCGAAAGTGTTGATATCGCCACTGGTCTCGATATTGTGGAGCACACATCCGGGCCTTACTTGAAAGTGGGACAGCACTACATCGGCAACGGTGACAACATCGGCTATGTGGTCAAGGCTGGTCCCAGTGAAGGCATCAACTATACGAAGTCAGATGCATCTCATACGGCATTTCTGAGATCTGGTGTTCGCAATCCCTCATGGTCCCCGGATGGTACGAAGGTGGTCTACGAAGTGTCCTCATGGGATGTCCGCTCCCCTGCTAAGAAACTCTTCAGTTGGGACGAAGAGTGGGAGTACCGCTTTATGGACGTGTTTCCACAGTACAACAAGGCCACAGAACGCCTCGTCTTTACCCAAAAGCAGCTCGGTAACTCGTCAGTTGTGACCTCGACGACTGAATACACCGACTTGAAAGAGGTGTTTGATGTTTACGATGTCTGGTCAACTGACAATGAAACGGAGGTTGGGATTGTAAAGAGTGGCCTTGGAGGTGCTTTCCAGCCAACATGGTCACCCGACGGCTCTCAAATAGCCGTTGGGTTCGGAGTTTGGTTCTTTAACCGCAACAGCAACCCGGCATCCATCTACCTCGCCAACGCCACAGGTGATGGTTTCTACAACATGACAGATATAGAAACTGACCTCAATGCTGGATTTCCGTCCTTTTCACCTGACGGCACCAAGTTGGTGTATCGGCTGTGGAACTCGAAAGATAAAATCCCACTGGGCTTGCGCATCCTCGACCTGACTACTGGCAAAACCACCAATCTTACTTCAGGCTGGGACAATACTCCTGGGTGGTCACCCGATGGCGAGCGTATCGTATTTACCAGACAGGTCAACTGGACATCAGAGTACGGTAGCCGCTGGTACGAGGATCGTTTTGACATCATGACGATTCGACCTGATGGAAGCGATCTCACTCAAGTGACTGATAGTCCAGCCAATGACGCACATGCTGTGTGGTCGTACGATGGCCGCATCCTCTGGAGCACCGGCATGTATGGTTTTCGCGATGAGTCCTCCCAATATGAGAACACGTTTCAACCCTACGGCCAGATCATGGTTATGGATGCCGATGGCTCAAATAAGCGCATGCTGACAGATAGCATGTGGGAAGACTCGATGCCTCTATATGTGCCTAGGGAATAAGTAGTTAACACATAAATATGCCTCGAGGAACTACAACGGCTTGTACGATAGAGTGGAGCTACACAAGTAGGTAACGTTGCCAATCTCTTCGTCAGTTACTGTTCGTGCTATCCCCATGATTGTCTCTAAAGAGACAGAGCTATGCTTCATGGAGCCCATCAGTCTTATATTTCCTGGTGTCAAAACTGCCCTTGGTGTTAACAGGGTAGTTTTCTGTGCTACTGCGGTAATTGGATGCCAGTGAAATACACTCAGGCGCATAATAAGGACCTCGAGATCCTTCAGCACGACTAAATCATCCACATTCCGCTCTTTACAGCGGGAAATCTTAGAGCTGTCGCGTAATGCGCTCTTAGGCGATCAATCGCTGCTCCAGACTAGCAGGACGGTGGAATGTCCCCCAATTTCCCATACAGCTGGAAGGAAGATCTCATCTCTCTCAAGTCGTCCAAGACCTTCAACATTCAGCTCTTTTTTCCAGGCCCGACATTGACGCATGGGAAGAAGGGTGTCAGCCACCGGCTAGCTGTGCGGCCCCTGTTCTCGATCCTCGAGTCTTTCTAGGATGGCCTTTTGAGCATTGAGGTTGCTCGCCCAGGAACATGGGAAGGTCTAAAGCAGCACCTTGAGGATGCCGCAGTGCGAGGCAAGTTCTTCTGCCTCGTGCATCTGGACGTCCATGACTCAACTTCGATCTCTGAGGAGTGACCACGAACCACAAAGGTCACAACGAGGTAAGTGTTAGGACCATTTAGACTCTTCATGGTCACGTGTTGATTCTCATGGCTTCGCTTCCTCCCAGACTCGTTCGGCGCCTACGACAAAATATCAGCGGCTCAGATTGTCAGAGAGCTTCGCAGGCACAAGTTGTTGGCGGTCGTCCTCAGCGCCTGCGAATCGGCACGAGGCGACCCAGGTCTCCAGGCGAATCTCGCATACTAATGGCGAATTATTGATAACCTGGTACAGCCAGATGTTCAGGAATACGAAAAGGGGATGACCTCTTGGTATATTTAGCCCGTAATAAGCGGCTTATCGTGTCGGTGAGGCTGCTTTTTTCGTTGCAGCTACTAGCGCAGCTGCGCCACTGATCTATTCGACTAAAACTTAATAAATGTAACAACGTCTTCCATATATCAATAATTTACAATAATGCATTCTTGGCCATTGCAGTAGTAGCACAAAGCTATCCTGCCCGTCAAGGTTAGTCTCAACCATTTCAAATAGTTAATCCGCCCGCGTCGCAAGGGAAATAAGTCAGGCGGAATAATCGAGTTTGTCTAAGATAATGGCTCAGGCTAGATAATAGCTCAGGCTCCGGAGGAAGGTATTGTCAAGGGGCGGATACCTACGAGTGAATGTCTCCATTAGTTACCAGCGTGGTTTGGTGCAAACCTCTGCTCAAAAGTACCCACCCCGTCAGGCGCACATGAAAATCCCGCCTCTCGTCTAAGTCAGATTAGGTTATCGGAGTACGAGCATCATACGATCGTAGATAATTCCCGGAACTTTCCATGAGTAGGTTGCCCAAGCTTATTAGTTGCGGTGGCATCATATTTCGCCGAGCCGGAGGAACGGCAATGGCTCTTCAGCTGAAGCTGATGTCTAATGAACCCAGGCACCCCGCAAAATCCCACGCGTGCACCCGAAGGCAGTGCAACGGTGAGCCGAACCGCTGTCCGGGGTTGGTCCCATGTGACTTCCATCCGAGTCCGGGGTTTGTAGCTCGGGTGGGGGATACCGAGTTGCATACTGACCCCTACTAGCAATCCTTAACGCAGCACAAGCCAGAAGATAGGTAGTCCCGGCTACTCGCAAGGGTCGGATAACAATTGCCGTCCCCTCTCTTAGCTGAGATGCTGAATACGGCCAAAGGCCTTGATTTGATGATCCTGGAAGACCCTGCCGGTCCCAATCTCCAAATGTTGATGGCTGCATACCGACGCCGAAAGCACCCCGGCTTCCCGCCCCCAAAAGCCTCAACACCATGATCACGGCTCCTCGATTCAGATACCATAATAGGCATCTCGAGTAAGCTAAGCATGCGGTTCTCGGCTGGATTTGGTAATGTTCTGCGAACCAGTGCTCCTTGTCTAACCGGAGTTTGCCAAGCGCTGTAGGAGTCCGTTGAACCCCGCTCCGCGAGGACGACTTTTGCTTCACACATCCTCGGATGAGAAACACACGCTGTGTGAACGACGTTGTTTGCTTGTGATAATATTCCTGATGAATTGATAGTAACTGATCTCAATACGAGATGCTTCAGCATGTGAATAACGGAGTGAGCGATCTCCAAATTGTATAAAAAGACGCGTTGTTGTCGTGTAATCAGAAAACCTCAGTACACATCATCCTCTTCAGATTGACAATCCAAGTCAATTGACTCTCTTATTGAGACCTCTGTCATGATGCTCATCCTATCTATTCTTTCCATTATTGCCTTTGCGGCAGCTAGTCCAGTGCCCTCTATTGATGAGAACATTCGGGTACTTGAGCATCGAGGTGAGTGAATTGACGACTATGAGGCTCCAACGAATATGCGCTAACATATAGCTTAGCTGTGACAGTCACGACACAGGACCTGTCAAACTTCAGGTTTTATCTCCAGCATGCTGATGCTGCGTATTGCAATTTCAATACGGCAGTTGGCAAACCAGTCCACTGTGGTGCCGGGAACTGCCCTGATGTTGAAAAGGACTCTGCTATCGTTGTCGGATCGGTAGTGTAAGTGAACTGCCCCAAGATCACAAACAACAATATGAGGACCATAACTCACAAAGCTTTCCAGTGGTACGAAGACGGGCATCGGTGCGTATGTGGCAACTGACAATGCTCGTAAGGAGATCGTTGTCTCTGTGCGTGGCAGCATCAACGTGCGAAACTGGATCACAAACTTCAACTTTGGCCAAAAGACCTGCGATCTTGTTGCTGGCTGTGGGGTTCACACCGGCTTCTTGGAGGCTTGGGAGGAGGTTGCAGCCAATATCAAAGCTGCTGTCTCCGCAGCGAAGACTGCAAACCCGACTTTCAAGTTCGTCGTTACCGGACACTCCCTCGGTGGTGCCGTCGCTACTGTTGCGGCTGCGTACCTGCGCAAAGACGGCTTTCCTTTTGACCTCTACACCTACGGCTCTCCAAGAGTAGGAAACGACTTCTTCGCCAACTTCGTCACGCAACAGACGGGTGCTGAATATCGCGTCACACACGGTGATGACCCCGTCCCACGTCTTCCTCCTATCGTCTTTGGATACCGTCATACTAGCCCAGAATACTGGCTTGACGGTGGCCCACTTGATAAGGACTACACTGTGAGCGAGATCAAGGTTTGTGATGGCATTGCGAACGTAATGTGCAATGGTGGCACAATAGGGCTGGACATTCTTGCGCACATCACCTATTTCCAGAGCATGGCCACTTGTGCACCAATCGCGATCCCATGGAAGAGGGATATGTCAGATGAGGAGTTGGACAAGAAGTTGACTCAATATAGCGAGATGGATCAGGAATTTGTTAAGCAGATGACTTAGACCATAGAGAGAATGAGTTTATGGTCTTGCTTGCTGGCAAATAATTACTAAGTTATTAATATTTCTTTTATAATAAGAGAAATTTAGTACTTAATCTATACTGATTTCCTTACTATCTGCATTTATGTTTCAGCGCTGGGTTGGCATGATATAAGGCAGCATAAAGAGGCGAGCAACAGCGAAATGGTCTACTGGTAAGAGCAAGCAACAAGGTAATTAATTACAGGAGGAGGTGGATAATAATTATCTTAGGTTAAGAAACAAATCGATGCTGTGTGTTGGTAGTATTCTGCACCTCGCGAGACCCTTCTGCCCCCCCTCTCTTTCAAGCAGACAGTCCTGCAAGAAAGATATTTAGAATCACTAAAGTGACAACTCATTTTGATCACTACCTTCTCAGCCAGCCTCTTTAAAGGTTCGGGAAATGTGGGAGCTGAAACTAAGAGAATGAGGGAGCTTCGGCTAATTCCAGCTGCAAAGCGAATGGCGCTAAACCCTAGACATTAGATAACCCCTTCCAAGGCGTGTCTTCCAAACGAGCTGAAATAAGAAAACGCCTCTGTGGCACCGGGGCTTAGCTGATCTCCAAGGGTTAGTAGTAGCCTGGAACCGAGCTGTTGGGATTGGAGGCTCTGAAGCAAGTCAATGACCCCCTCGTGGTTTTTAAGCTTATCTTAGACGGACCCATCCCTTCTTCCTGTTCCAGCGAGAACGCCAACGCCGCCACCTAGCTAATTTGGCCAAGTCTTTTAGTTCTTTGTCATGGCCTATGCCATTCATTGGTAATGAACGTGGCCGGCCCTCCTGTAGTAGGGCATTAAGACTTGTACAAATATCCCATGCGTGGCCAAGAACGAGTGTGAACGCCACCAGCGCCAGTGTTTGTTGCGTACGCTCTTTCGCCGTGAGCTTCACATATTCCTCACAGCAAGCGCCACCTTCGCTCACATTGGTCTTGTCATGCAAGTGAGACTCGTCAGCAGTGAGCTTGTGGAATCAGACAGCTGTTAGTGAGTGCCTCGCATTGTATGGTGCCTTGTGGAGGATAACGGCCTGCGGAATTGCTGGTGGCTGGCTGCCTGGGAACCTCGCTTGATTCTTCTATCTACGGGCTGCTTTCGTGGCTAAGCGGTACCCTTGGTGGCGGTGCCGCTATTTGGAACTAATGAAACTGTTCCTGAACTACAGATTACATGCATGCCAGTAACCCTAACTGACCGTGCTAGTGGCTGATTCAATCGCCGACGTGGCGCTGGAGCTGCGAGCTGAACCTGATTGCCAAGGGGCTAATCTCCACCATAGTTAGAGGCCTCAACGCCATGGCCCGGGTTCAGTCGCTACGAGTCGATTGCCCACCCGGTAATACCGCATCAACCAAGAGCGGTCACAGATTTCAGCTCCTTACAGGTCAAGAGCTGAAGCCCCTGTAGCTAGAAGAGGTAATGCACCAGTTGAATCCCGTGAAGTCCCAGAATTATGGGTATTTTCAATGTGGCGGGTTCTCGACTCATCTTAATCTACATGTATTCGTACATGCACCAAAATACTCCGTCCTGTATCCAATGATGCCATCTTTTGTTCTTATCATTGGAGCTTGGCCTTGGTATCCGTAAAAGAGAGAGATCCGCGAAGGGAACTGACTCAGTATATAAAAAAGAAGAACTTACCCCCAAACTGCCCTCAAGAATTGTACTATTCAGATGAAGTCTTCTTAATACTCGGTGAGAGGTGTTAACGTTTGTTTTCTCCTTGTAGAGAGTTTTCTTTATTGATTCCATGAGAGAAATCCCCCCCAAGATGCCTTCATCATCACCATCCTCATCTCTCGACAGCCTAGACAGTGGCATCAACGCTGCAAAACTAGAAGCAGCCAACCGCTATGTCCGCTGGAACCTATTATTTCTTCTGATAATCTTCACCTTTCTTCTATTTCCAATATGGATGCCTCTTACTCCCTATGTCAACCAAGCAACCAACGTCGTCATCATAATCATAATGGGTCTTTTCCAACTCATCTGGCTGATAGCCACCATTTGCGCCATTCGTCGAACACTAGCCATTAACAGCCGAAACAAGCTCAAGACCACGAAAGCTCAAGATGTCGAATCAGCGGACGCCACGGCCAACGACTACTCAACCATTCGTCACATAGTTGCCATGACCTTATACAAGGAACCCATGGGCGTACTGCAAGCCACATTAGACTCTCTCGTGCGGCAAAAGGATGCCCAATCCCGCCTCTCTGTCATTATTGGCATGGAATGCCGCACACCAGATAAGGAAGCCAAACGCGATGAAATCTACGCAAAGTACGAGAGCAAATTCCTCCGTCTCATCGTCACCTTCCACCCCGCGGGCATTCCTGGCGAAATCAGCGGCAAGTGCTCCAACATGAACTACGCCTGTCGCCAAGGCCTACAGATCCTCCGTCAAGATGTCGACTACAACTATGAGAAATACGAACATATCTTTACCAACTGCGACTGCGACGCCGTTTTCGATCCTGAATACATGCTGGAGCTGGAGACCGAGTACTCCAAGCTAGATTTTGCCGACCGCCACTCCTCCATCTGGCAGTCCATCATCATCTACAAGCGCGACTCCATGCCCTTCTTTGTCGACATTACCGGTGTTTTGCGCACGTTTTTCTTCATGGGTATTTTGATTCCCTGGAACATCAATCCCATGTCTCATTACTCCCTCAGTGTCAAGTTGTTGGAGGAGGGCGCCTTTACCCACCCGGCCTATCAGATGGAGGATATTATTGCCTTGATTCGCTACACCATCATAACGCGACGAGAAATCCGCATCAGGCCGTTGAATCTAATTTCTATCAACGGTCCGACCTCTGGCGCCAACTACGCAGATGAAATCCGCGAATGGGCCCTCCAGGTTCGCCGATGGACCATTGGCGCCGGCGAAGTCTTCCACTACTTCATTGTCAAGACCTACCGAATGCCTGGGCTCTATCTGTCTATCAGCTGGGCCACTCGATTCTTCACGTACTATGGCCTCGTTCTATGCGCCAGCGCCATCTTCTCTGTGATTTCCCCCATCATTGTTCAGCTCCTGAACATGGTTGCTGCCGAACATGATCGACTCTTCATCAGCGATGCTCTTTTTTCAACCATCTGCTTCATCTTCTTGGGAACGCAGTACGCGTTTTTGCTCATCGTCACCGTCCTCGTCCGTTGGAACCTACCTGTGCCTGGCGATAGCAATAACAATTACAACGAGGGTCTTCGGGGGGTTACGAGAGGCCTGTTACATTGGGTCTTGATGTTGCCCACCATTCTTGCCTATAGCTTTGTAGAGCTCTGTTCTTTCTTTGAATTGGCGTTTAGAGGAAAGGATGTTTGTAAGCATAATGCTGCCAGTAAGAACAATCTAGTCCTATGAAAAAGAATTAGTGGTGGATTTCAGGTCAGGGTCGGAGGTTAGATAGCAACTATATGCAGCAGCAGCCGCACGTCTTAGTGAGATATCATTTATTAAACTCTACCCTCTTTCAGATAATTAAAAGCTCAAAGAGATTATTACTACTTAACTCACCGTGATTCTCTACATTCCAATCACAAATTCCCACCCTCTCAAATACGCGCATGCCATCAGGTTCCTGTAGATATTTTAATCCCGATATCGAAGTCAAACACAAACACTTCTAATAGACCCCGGCGCGGGCGATCTCAAGACAGAAGACCGTGTCTGTCCACGCAGTGAAGTCTTTGATATCCGACCTGAATTCCGCTTCTGGGTCCACGAAGGCCTGTATCCCCATTCGATCTGACCTCTTTCGCCTCATTGTCGCTTCGACTTCTGGTATGGTCGAGATGGAGGTGTCAGATCGTGGGTACATCCCAGTGATCCGACCTCTCAAGCGCAGCGCGAGGGATTCTGGCGTGTTTATAAGACCGAGGAACTGTGCTTCGCAAGTAACACCATTGTGGTCGTGCGAGTCAATCTTTTTGAATGTGACGGGCTCCATGACGGACAGCCACGACCAGGTTGGTATTTGAAGGTCTGCCAATTCTGGCTGACGTCCAAACCCTCTTTCTCTTTGAATCTCCCTTCCCCCTCCCAGAACAGCAAGGTGCTTGTTTCTCCCTTGACCAGCGTCGCACAAAGAGCTGCGGGATCCCTTCACAAGCCATAGCAACTCTTCCCATAAGTACTTAATCTTCGGGTTTAATTAACCTATTAAGGGCTAGGCTATAACTATAATAAAGAATAGATCTTTAATGTATTATAATATAGTTATCTTCTTATGTTATATCCTGCCATATCTAACAATAGCCATAGGTTTGTCAACAGATTTATTATTCATCCTGGTAACTCTGACGCCCCAAGGGACAAAAAACGGCTCAGGATCTTGAGCTCTACGTTCCAGTGGCTTCTCGCCAGCTTCGACGCATCTCCCAGCTTTGTGTGATCGATGCTCAACCCAGAAATTCTCGTAGGCCTTGGATGTCGCTCAATACCCCAACAGAATGGAACCTTCGCCTTGCCATTCTGGTATACTCTCCCCGTGCGCACCGCGTCACCATGCTTCGATGAAGAAGGCATCCATGTAATACCATCCTTGAACTCTTCGCAAAGTGCGAATCACCCACGACGGCTCCATTGTAGAAAAGTCCCTTGGCCTACTGTTACGGCTTGGTCCCCCGTAGCAGCGCTGTAAACCCTATAAGAAGTTGTTGCACCTTCTGTGATTGCTACAATAGCGATTATGGCCCGATCTTTTGCCCCGTGGCGCAGCGGCTAAGGTGCCCGCAACTGTAACTGCCGTTACAGGCGAGGTACGGCTTAAATCCTTGTGGGCACCGATGGCATAGTACATATCAAAAGTAAATAAGTATGAAAGAGTGTTGTCTTGATACATGCCTTGTCTTCACCTGGTTACCGACGTGCGACTACCGAAAGGATCATTCTTGCTAAACCCCCAGTGCTTCTTCTCAGCCTGACAGTATAGTCATTGAAACGGAAAGTCTCCCCTAAATCAAAGAATGTGAAGTCATCCAGATTTATTCTCCTGAACGATGAAAACAGTTGCTAAATGCACCTTATGCCCGCTGAGTATAACGAATGTTAGGCTGAGGTGGCTGGTCCATGCCCTGACCAAGAAAGTAATCAACATGGTGAGACTGAATATACCCTTTGACCGTCAGGTCGTTGCGATAGTTCGGGTTGTGAGCAAGGGTGTACAGCCGGATATCAGATGGCTGATCAGTGGTGAAGATGAGTAACTCATCCATGGCGGCGTTAGTCACGACGACCTCCTCTCGCCAGTCTCCCAAGATGTCACCGATCAGGGTCGGATTCCTCCCATAGGTTACACCACCAAACTTGTTGATATGTGTGATACGGGGCACCTTGTTAGACACAGTGGGTTCCTCCCAGTTCCACTTCTCGATCTTGCCATCGTTGAACAACTCCAGCAAGACATCACCATCCCACCAGATTCCCAGATGCGGCCATGGGCAAAATTCGGTATCGGCTTCTACCGGCTTGTTCTCTTTGGCGTTATAGAGACCTCCTGTAGTCGACCACACCTCCATTCCGGGGTGAGTAGGGTCAATGTCACCCACCATGCCACGTCCTAGGTCGAGTACTTCATCACCTGTGTGTTCCCATATCATCTTGCCATCAGTGGCATCGTAGTAGTAGTCATACAAAAGACCCTCGTTGTTCTGTTGTATGCCATAGCCCTGGAGACCACCTCGTTCAGGATCCATCTTGGCGATGTGGAAACGGTCACCATGAACAACGCCTTGGTCGTGAAGAGTATACCGGACAGTCCCATCTCCGTTGAGGGCAAATCCGATCTCAAAGACCTCGTCCTTCCCATCCCCATCGACATCTAGGATGCGAGTGTTGTGTCCGTCCGGATATTCCGAATACTTGGTGCCACGGTCCCACTTCCACTGCTGCTTCAACGCTTTGCCGTCAAACGTCCACGACAGCATAAGGAGGTTGAAGTTCTTGTCCTGACGACGATTCTTTAGGTAGGCGAAGAGGTGAGGTGTTTTACCATCGAAGAAACCAGCACCCAATCGAGCACCCATAGGGCCATCGGATGCGTAATCGGCGGGCAACGGAGAAGAAGCACGAAGAGCTCCTGTTCGACCATCTAGTATAGCAATAAATTGCTGATTGTCGTCTTTACCACGGGTAAACTTCTTGCCATCCCCGAAAGTGACTCCATTGGAGACCCGGATCGCAACTTCGGCGAGACCGTCACTGTCAAAGTCAAACACAGTGACGCCGTCCCAATGGCCAACATCGATGGTCGAGGGACCCGGCGAGATATTATTCTGATTCTCACTGCCAGGACCTAAATTTACATCCCAAAGGAATGTGCCGTTGCTGGTGTACGCCTCAATTGACTGTTGGGTTGAATGCCGGTCGATGACAAAATCCCACTCGCCGTCGCCGTCGAGGTCGCCCACCCAGACATACTTTATAGTGCTCCCGGATCGCAGAGGTATGCGTACAACAGGCTCCATTGGGTTATCAGCGGGCAAGGTGAATGAGCCAGATATCTTCTGTTCTTTGCCATCCACGACAGCTCGAACAGTGTAGGTATTGGCTGAGCCCGCGTCCGCGGTCGAATCGATAAAGTTGGTCCCGCCGGTGAGTGCCTCCGAATTCAGCCGTTTCGGCTGATCGTTATTGCTTGCACGGTAGACGTTGAAGCTAATGCCGTCCGGGTCAAGGCCGAGAAGCCTCCAGGTAACCAGGATGTCGTCTTCGCTTGACCGAACGGCAACAACGCCACGTCCCAAATTCTCAATAGGTCGCGGGCCGGCAGCAAGGGCCAGGCCCAAGAGGGCATTGGCACACAGGAGAAGATAGAGAAAAGGTTTCATGGTAATAATGTAGGAAAGAGGGGCAGTGCTATGCAGGACGCCCGAGGCTTGTCTCGAGTGAATAAGGAAAACAGGATACTCAACAACTACTTATATACCTGTTAAGGATGTAAGTCAGACCACTTGATACAAATGTATCTGTGACGAAGATCTAACCCTTTAATCAGGCGGAGCTTCAAGCTCCGCGAGGGGTAACTTTTTCCCAGCAATCATGCCGGGGTCATCGGGCTTTCGGGCAAAGTTAAGAGGAGAGCGGGGGAACTACCGCGGACAATGTACAGATCTCAGGGGACAGTATTATTAAATGCCTAAAGTATCCCATAAGCTAGCATGGAGCTACAACCAGGTCACGACAGCTGGACAAAGCCGGTCAACCTCTCGTGGGTTGATATAGGCACTGGTAGAGCTTCTAGCACCGGAGTTTCTGACGCTATGGCAGCTCAGGCCCTCACAAACTTGTTGAACGGTGTCATTAGCAAAACAACCTCAATTGAAGGAGGATATTATGCAATTCCCAATTCCTCTTTGCGTACTCTAAGAAGTGGAATCTTGCAGACCACACTCATTGGGGCAATGAACACGTCAGGCGATAGTGGTTGGGCTCAGGCTCTGGCGCCGCTTCCTCAGGAAAATCAAGCACTTGCTCGCAACAAGTCAATTGGGTCGTTAATCGAAGAGTTGTCCAGAAACCAGACCTTAAGTCTTTTCAGTGACGCTCGATTCTTGTGAGCACAATCCGCAAATCCGACGTTCGCTGACCCAGACTCGGGTCTAAAGATGGCATGGAAGCCAACGTGACCCAGAACCTATCTGTCAATATCTGGCAGTATCGCAAGCAGAATCTCTAGATCTCTTATGGCTCAGCCATCTTTGCCGCAACGTTTGGCGTCCTGGCGGGGCTTCGAGCTGTCTATCAAAACGGCATTAGCCATGACAACAACTTCAGCATAATCATCGCAGCAACGCGTAACGACACTTTAGATGGCCTGATCAAAGGCTCACCTTTAGGAGGAGAGACTGTAACTGCTGACCTTCTTAGGACGAAATTGATGTTTGGTGTATTAGATCGAAATACGGACACCCCCGGTGTGCCAAATATAGCTCGTGCTGCCTTTGGAATTACAACTGAGATATCACCACTGCGTAAGGGACAGGTCGTTAGTTAAGGAGGCTCAAGTGCCAGGTTGGAGCACGCAGTCTAGTCTCCGTAGAAAGCGTTCATAGGTCAATAAGATCGACAGTAGAATAAACACAATATTGGAAAGGAAAACCAGCCGTTGCCCTTTGAATCAGGGCTAAACGATTTACCAAGTCAGAGTGCCCGAGTCTTGTCTATATTTTCACTCTTAACCCTGACGTCAAGTGGTTTAAGGTTAACTATGTGATTAATCCTTGGAGCTGTATTTTTATGTAAAAGAAAACAGATTGTGAGAAATATCTTCGTCGCCAAGAAACAAACTCCAATCCATCTCTGTCCACTGTTCATCAGCCCATCCAAATACATGTGCCCCTGCGTCAGTCACCGATGGCGTGCGAATGATTCCCTCGGCGCCCTGTGACACAGCCTGGAATAGGACAGCCACGATATCTGGAGTACGGTCAGAAGCCCGCATCCACGGCTTCATGTCCACGAAAACTTCCAAGGCTTTGTTCAACATCGTGCGCCAGGCCATGACGGTTTCCGGCTCAGAGTCTGAAGAGTTGGATGATGTCTCCATAGCGATGGAGAGGAGGGGAACTAAGCATGCCTGAAACAGGTACCAAGCCGAGTTCCAGACTTGGATTCGGTTCGGGACCCAATGAAGTGCAATAGCATCGATGGCTTCTGCTGCAACAGCTCTGCACAGGTCGATCATTTGGCTCTCTGCCGGGTTAGGAGTGTGCCTTTTTATATCTTCGTGGGCGCGATACAAAAGAAAGCATCGAGATAGGATCATGCGAACACTATAATATCTGTTACGCAAGAACTCGCGTGCGACGGTGATGCGAGGAGGGGCATCGGTTGTGTCCTTGAGTATGGCGGGTAGCGAGTCGTACCAGCTCTGTAGTTCAGAATCCAAGGCCCTTGCTTCGTGAGTATCGATTCGCGTAGACTGGGCAAATCGGTCTTGAAGACGATTGCAGATATGGCACATCCGTGAGCTCTCTCTGAGGGATACCGCACAGTGATCATCGGGCCCCAGAAGCGTAGGTGGCAATGTGTTCATGGTATTGGTGTCCCATCGTCCACAGGTTGGGCGACCCAAGGTCATGCTGGCCCACGTATCGAGACAGTAAAGGCTCCACCATGTCCGCCTTCGAGTCTCGATCCGAGCCACATAACGTTGGCCTGCTTCGGAGTCTTTGTGGTCAGCACGGATCGGAGACTCTCTGTGCAAACCCAGGGCGATGGCTAAGCGCTGTGCAGCGCCCAAGATTGCATACGCCATGTTAGGCGAGTTGCGATAATGGAGGTAGTATCCGCCAAGTAGGCACAGCGCCTGTAGGCTCTCCAGGTTCCCTGAACCAAGTGAGTCGAGATCGAGGTACGAGCGAGCCCGGTGGTAGTAGTGGATATGGGCAGTGTCGCTTCCCGAAGCAATGGAGCCTAGTGTAAGGACCATGTTGCAGAGACCAAGCCACGCCGGGCTTTGCCCACCGCCAGTAGTGAAAGTGCTCCTAAACGAGTCCTCGTCGATTAAGGGTGTAATGGCATGAATGTGCTCAAAGTAGAAGCCAAGATAGCGTTGCTCACGCAGAGAATCGGGCGCCGCAAGAGAACCAGGCGTACGGTTTAGCACGAGCGGTCGAGTCTCATCTTCCGAAACGCCAGGCCAGGTCTGGGACTGTTCGACAGCAAGATCCTTCGCAGTTGGACAAAGTCGAAACAAAGATTTCAGCACTGCGCTCACAGATGTAATTCCTAGATATGAGCGGCGATGTTGGTCACCAGCCAGGCTGAGGGCGTTGATGTCATCGCTGGCTGCGATGGTCGCGGGATCCTGAGCCGACTCATGCCAGCGCCTCTCCTCCTCGCCTGATTCACCTATGCTCAAATCCTCGGGCGAGCTTGGTACATCTTCAATGTCCCCTGATAGCCCAGATGACCCAGTCGTGGGCAGTGGGTCAGGTGATTGTAGCGTTCTCTCTTCGTTGACGTGGTCCCGTGTTGGTTTTGGCGAAATAAGCTGGATGAGATCAGCTCGATCCTTGTCGACCAATTCATCAAGCCTGTGATTGGGAAATAGTAGTTGTAGAACACCGGCTTGACGTCGAAGCGTTTCCGTGGCCTTGTCTAGAGCGCTGCAACGTCATAGAGTGACGAGTGTCAGCGACTCGGTTTTCTGGATACCGAAAACTGGTCTTGGAGAACGGGGCGCAATACCTCTTACTTGTGGCTTGGCGTTTACTTCGCTGTCTATAAACGCAATCTTGGGAGACTTTGTAGTATCTGCAACTCGAACAAGGGTGGCCGCCATCACATTTTACCTTTCGGCGGGTGCATTCGGAGCATGACCTGTTGACTTTTCGCACAGGGGGTTCCGGCTCGGCACCTGGCGGCAAAGGATCATCTCCAGTCTGGCTTGAAAATGTGTGAAACATGATCAATTGACGGGTGTGGTGTGGTATATGGGCATTTTGCAGTGAGAAAAGGTTGAAGTTAATGCTACTTTGGAGAGCTGCAGAAAATGGGCTGTTGTAGCACCCGCAGCGAATGGAACGGAAGAATAATATTTCCCACTAGCTTATTTACACAGTAACGTCAACGCTTCCTAAAGCGTCTTTATCCTTGGAGATCATGGTAATGTCCTAGCGACCATAAAAAAAGAATAGAAATGATATCCATGATACGCTTCCCCTTACTACAGGTACACAACCTTATCTGCAACCTTTCACCATATTGCTCGTGATGGTACAAGTCTAGACCGAGCCCCGTCCCTGCTGAATGATCCGTTTCCGGGCCTTTGCGGCTTCAACACTGGCTTTTCGCGGATTCTTGGCCTCGAAGATGACATCAAGCTCCTCTAGAGTTGAGCCCTTGGTCTCGACGAAGAAAAAGTACATGAATGTCATTTCAAAGGTGTCCCAGAACACAAAAAAGACATAAAACCAATACCCGATCTAGACGGCAGAGCCTGATTAGTATCCGAGAATCAAGACGAAAGGGCTTCACGTACATTAGAGAGAGCGATTGGGCCAACAAACGTGTTGAGAAACCCAGCTGCCCCTGCCGTCAACTTGAAGGTGCCCATGGCCTTTGCTCGCATTTTGTTGCTGACGACTTCGGCAGGGTAGATGGGCTGCATCGGAGTGAACCCGCAAGCAAAAATGGCACCAAACATGAAGATGAAGACAATGCTGACGGTTGACGCTGGCTGGTTTCCGTATTTCGTGTATCCCGCCGCACAGCCTGCGACAATTGCAAGACATACCGTCATACCAGCTGTGGCGGTAATGAGCATCTTGCGACGACCGACAACATCGTGAAGTCTGGAGCCTATGATGGAAGCAGTCCACCCAACGACGGCGTAGACGATGTTGAGGATCAGCTTGGTATCAGTATCGGTGATGCCGATGCCGTTGAGCATGATGGGGAGATAGTATGAGACAATGCTGAGAGGATAGTTAGCAGGTTCCCTGCTTCTTACAAGGGCTGCGTTGTGTACTTGTTCCCACTAAATTGACCAAACCAAGAGAACGCGATATTGAGCATCAATCGGTAGCGACTAGACCGGGACTCGACAAGAACACGAAGATCAAATAGATCTTTCCAAGAAGCTTCGTGCTCTACATCGACAGCAGCTAACATCTCTGTCATTTCGAGGGCAACGAGCGGGTGGTCGATATCGCCGTTTGTATGGTATTTGGCAAGAATAGCCTTGGCCTCGTCATTTCGGCCTTTAGCAACCAGCCTGTGGTCAAGGTCAGGAGACAAAGCGAACTCGTACGCTGCATAAACCACTACTTACCATCTAGGAGACTCGGGATAAAACTTGATCAGAAGAACAACCAATCCTGGGCAGACCATCTGAAGCCAAAGGGGAAGCCTCCAGTCAATGTCGCCTTTGTGGGCGAGATATTTGTGACACGCATATACCGATGAAGTCGCAAACACAGAGCCCTAATAGTAGGTGAGTAATGTACTTCCAAATGACAGTACACAGGCAAAACTTACAACATTGTAGAAGGTATTGTACATTCCTGCAATCGTTCCACGGTACGCTGCCGGCGCGAGCTCGACCAGGTACAAAGGAGCTGCAGTGTGTGCACATGTGGCAAAGAATGACAGGAGAAATCTCCCCGCAATAAACATGGGGAGTGACATCGACAGAGACGTTACGATGGTACCGATACACACACCAAGACAGCCGAAGAAGATGTGCCATGTTCGTCCGTACCAGTCAGTCATCCAGATGAAGAGCGCGCCACACATTTGACCGATCTAACAGATAATTAACGCGTGTTATCACCGATTCGTGTGAGGTCATACCTGGAAAATAGCAAACACGATGCCAGTACTGGCATTACCATTCTCGGGTAAGCCGAAATAGTTGGTATAGTTCGGTAGGGCGTTGATGGAGCCCATCAAAGAACTGTCATATCCTGGCAGGTGTGTCAGGGCTTTCCAAGAGTCGTTGAAGGTGGGTATCAGCTTACCATTCATGGTCGAACACAAGAAAACGACCGAGGCGAGGATATACAACTTAATGTAACCAGGGCCTCGAGGGTTCGGTTTGTTCTTAGCCATGATGTTGGCGTAGGTCGTCATGGTGTTTGCTAGGTTCTCCATCTTTTCGACCTCATGAAGGGCGGGGTCTTCCGTCGCCTTGTCCATGTTTCCCAACTGTTGACCTGCTGCGAGGATATTGATGGAATAAAGAGGATATTAGTCGAGCTTTTGCGTGATGGGCTGGCTCTGCTGATCTTGTTCAAACAGACTTGAAGGCATGCGGGTTCTTATAGCGTCAACGTCCAGCGGAGGCTTTTCCGAACCCCATGGGGATTCCCCGCCAAACATCAACGCTAGGACGAAAGCGTCGCACGGAAATTTGAATCTTCGTCTAAGATGGGATGAGTCAGGAGGATGTGGAGATGGGCCAATGGCCCATTTCCCCATGGGCTCATACTCCGGGGGCAACTGAAAAGTCGTTCCCTCTAACGTGCCACGACTATTGGGGATGCATCGAATCTTGGGTTTAGGCTTCAGTTGTGTTACGGCTGTGTTATTTCCGTTGGGTCGCTCAGAAGACCACTCCCACCGCTTCTTCGAGCCCTTGGCCAAGCATTGAATTGCACAATAGAGTGTTACCTCTGTGCATGCCTTCTCCCCTGCCTGATAAAACCGTGTGGATTCCGACGTAGCAAGCATGACAAGACTTCGTTCTCACTCATAGCGTCTGTCCCAGACAGCATGAACTCACTCTTGAAACAGGAGTGGTGCAACATATGCCAATTGTATAGAATTACGCAAGAGGGAATGGAAGGTAACTCCAACTACAGAATCTACAATCTAGATCTAAAAACAGACTCGGCTTCCTCAAGCCCCGCTGGCCCGTCGTACAATTGGGAGTTAAGTGCAGCACTGTTAACCTGCAACAGTATGTCAGTCGAATCCAACATAACCTAACTAATAGACTCAAACTTACATGCTGCGGTCGAAGTTCACTAACGCAAGAAGCACCAAGCAGCCTCATGGTGGTGATGGTCTCATCTGCGAGAACTGGGTTGCTAGTGAGTACCTTTCCTGCACGCTTATGAGATGGAAACATACTTTGAAGAGATCTAGACACCCCATCCTCTCCGCCCACTGCTAAGCTGTAGAGAGCCGCTCGGCCAAGCCCAACTCCTCTGGCGCCCAGAGCCAGGGCCTTGACCACGTCCGAGCCTCTCTTGATGCCACCATCAACCCAGATCTCCACTTGACTCAGAATCTGAGGGCAAAACTTTCTGATTTCGAGCAAAACCTGGATAGGAGTGTTGGCGGTATCGAGAGCCCTACCACCATGGTTTGATAGAATGATACCCTTGACAGCTGAGAATTTAGATGCTATGAAAGCATCCTCATGGGTATGGATGCCTTTGAAATGTGTTAGCGCCTCTTGAGTAAGATACCACACAAGAGATCAAGTACCTTTCAACACGATGGGAAGATCAGTCTGTGTCGTCAGCCATGCCAATGTCTTATGCCAGGTTAGGGCAGACTCAGTTCCCCAAGCCCGCGGAGGCTCGGTGGCCTTGTAGCGTTCATCTGCTTCCCGTTTCCCTGGAAAGGGAGCATCTAAAGTCAAAACGATGAACTTTATCTGTGGGATGGCTCTGATTTGGGCCAGTGTCCTCTCGGTGGCCTTGATATCCTTGAGGACATAGAGCTGCCAGCCAAAGACAGCATTTGGGCCTGCGCGTACGATATCAGCCACAGAGATAGATGCGTTCTTGCTGATGATCTGGAGGGCGTTGACTTTTGAACAAGCCTTGGCGATTCCAACTTCGCCCGAAGGATGAGCGAGCTTGGCCATCGCTGCTGGGCTGACAAAGATTGGCATTCCGACACGGTTGCCCAAAAGAGTTGTTGATAACGAACAATGAGTACAGTCAATGAAGATTCGTGGCCGTAGAAGAATTGACTTGAAGATGGCCCCGTTGGCGACCTTGGTGATCTCGTCGTCTGTGCCAGATGCGTAGTATGCCATGGCCTTGGGACTCAGGCGCTCAAGGGCCAAGCGCTCCATCTCCTCGATGCTCAGTATTGTTTCCATGGGCGGCGACTCGGTAGTCGTCTGCTCGTTTTTCGTATTTTCTCTCGCTCCGACATCCAGTTCGCCGACGAGATGCTCGGCAGTCAGGTATTCATCAAGAAGCTCGATTGGATGAACCTCTTCAAAGGCATTTGTTGCGTCAGTTCCGGCGTGTCGAAGAATGATGGCCTTTCCGCCTGGATGGGCGCCTAAAAAGCTTGTAACCTAGAAATTTCGACAAATTAGGAAAGAGAAAGTTCAAGAAATTCGCTGCATAAGTGATGTGGTGGAACTTGCATTGTAGACCTTGCCGTGGATGGCAATCCAGCAATCGTCCTCACTTTGATGGTTTTGGACTGTAAGTTTGGTAAGCCAATCATGCATTTCTCCATGGCGGCTGACTTACGGTCTGAAAACGAGAACATGGTATCAAGCCCACCAGTGTTGTTTGTCAAATCACCCTCTGATCTTCGGCCTGCTCCGCGTTCGTTTTGTGTTGGATGCGCCCATCCAGCGAAAGCATGCTGACCCCGCTCCCGAAAAGGCTCCGGGGCTTTGGAGTTCCGTGCCATTTTTGGAAGGCGGAAATAACAATCATCGAGCCGAGTAGTTGTGACTCCACAAGCCGAACAAGACGGGGATTCACAGCACCGCCTCGATTAAAGAGAATAAATTAGTAGATAAAACGCCATCTGGGGATTCTCTCTGCCCTTGAAGTAACCGAAACCATCCCATTCTCTCACGGGAACCTCGGTAACATTACTCCTGCTAGCATGGAACGGTCTACTCGGGAGTTGACGACTGGTTGGTCGCTGAAGCAGCGAGATGACCAGTCCGAAGAGCCTTGGCTTCCTGTAGCTCATGTTCCAAGCCAAGTTCACATTGATCTCCTCGCCAACAAAATGTTTGCATCCCCGGCAGCCTCAACTTTTCCTGCGTCATGCAATGCTAATCTTAGGTAGAATTCCTGACCCCTTCATTGATGCCAATGAGCTGAAAGTGCAATGGATTGGGGAGAAGGACTGGATCTACCGCCTCCGGTTCAATGCAACTCCTTCAGAAGGGATGACAACGGCTCTTGTTTTCCAAGGGCTTGATACCTTCGCAGCTGTTACTCTGAATGGATCCAAAATCCTGGAATCGGACAACATGCACATCGCCCATAGAGTGCAGATATCCCATCTGCTCCACCCGAGCCAAGAGAATGAGCTGCAGATCCTCTTCGACTCGGCCTTGATCCGTGGCCAGGAGCTCGTTCATCAGCACCCAGAGCACGTCTTTCACGTCCGCCAAACCGAAGCAAGCCGCGTCCCCGTACGCAAGGCTCAGTACAACTGGGGCTGGGACTGGGGTCCTATCCTGATGACAGCGGGGCCCTGGCGTCCAGTTCTCCTAGAGCAGTACGTGGCGAGAATTGAAGACGTGTGGGCGCAGTACCAGCTGTCCGGAGACTACATGTCTTGCTCTGGACACTTCTTCACGCGAGTTGAGGGCAGCAAATCGGGTGACAAGGTCGTTCTCACATTACTGCACCAGGACAAGACAACCTTTCAACAGGAATGCCGAGTCGCAGAAGACGGGCTTGTCAAGATTCCGTTTCAGCTTGACCAACCTTTATTGTGGTATCCTCATGGCTATGGGTCACAATCCCGCTATCAACTGGTCGCAGAACTCTTTCGCCAAGACCAAAAGCTCGATGTCAGATCCAAGCACATTGGATTTCGACATGTTGAGTTGGTACAGGAACAGGACGACTTCGGGAAATCGTTCTACTTCCGCATCAATGGCATCGACACCTTCGCCGGCGGCTCGTGTTGGATTCCTGGCGACAGTTATCTCGCACAGGTATCCAGCAATCGTTATGTGGAATGGGTCAAGCTTGCGGTAGAGTCCAATCAGATCATGATCCGCGTATGGGGCGGTGGCATCTATGAGGATGACGCGTTTCTGGACGCATGTGACTCTTTGGGAGTTCTGATCTGGCATGATTTCGCATTTGCTTGCGCCAGTTATCCTGCTTACCCTTCTTTCCTCAAATCAATCCAAGAGGAGGCAAGGCAGAATATCAGGCGGCTTAGATCGCATCCCTCGGTGGTCATCTGGGCCGGAAACAATGAAGATTATCAGGTCCAAGAGAGGTACAAGCTTGAGTATCGACCGGAAGACACCGATCCAAACTCATGGCTGAAATCGACATTCCCAGCCAGATACATCTATGAGTATCTGTTACCAAAGTTGGTACAGGAGGAGGACCCGTCTTGCATTTATCACCCAGGGAGTCCTTGGGGCGATGGCCGAATCTCAAGCGACCCTTCAGTTGGCGACATTCACCAGTGGGACAGTAAGTCATGGCAACCCTATATATTTCTCAACTAGCCTCTGACGCAATGCAGTCTGGCATGGCCAAATGCACAGATACCAAGACGCGGCCCAACTTGCAGGTCGCTTCGTTAGCGAATTCGGAATGGAGGCCTACCCTCATATCGAGTCCATTCGCCGAGTGATCACAGACCCGGCGCAACAGTATCCAGGCTCCGCGATGATGGATTTTCGCAACAAGGCCATTGACCATGAGCGCCGTCTTCTAACATATGTTGCCGAGAACTTTCGGGTTCCGCAAGGGCTGGCCGCCTTCACCCACATCACTCAGATTCTTCAGGCAGAAACAATGCGGTATGCATACAAGTCCTGGAGAAGGATGTGGGGAGACGCTGGAGCTCGCAAGTGTGGCGGTGTGCTTGTGTGGCAACTCAATGACTGCTGGCCGACCATGTCATGGGCTATCGTTGACTACTATCTGGTGAAGAAGCCAGCCTTCTATGCCATCGCACGAGCTCTGAGGCCTCTTGACGTTGGTATCGCTCGCAAGTGCCCAGAATGGACTTCAGGCCACGCCGATGCCACAGTGATGAACACGGATGAGTTTGATCTGTGGATATCGAGTTCTCGTCAAGACCTTGTTGAGGTAGACGTGACTGTCAAGTTCCTATCCATCCAATCAGGGCAGCCTATCGTCGAGGACATCACTACTCAAATCTCAGTAAAGCCCAACGGCACAACCGAGATTTTCCAGAACAAACACATCGCGCCGTTCAACCAACTGGATGATCAAGGGTCAAAACAGCATGAACCCTTCGTTATCTACGCCACCATCAGTATTGGCGGCCAGGTTGTTGCCACAGACACTGCGTGGCCGCAACCCCTCAAGTACCTCGACCTCTCGAATCGCAAGGTGAAAGTCGAGGTTTTGCCTTCCAGAGACCAAGTTGCAGTGTCGGCAGACCTTCCAGTCAAGGGATTTGTGTTAACGGAGAGAGAGGGTATGAAGCTCAGTGACAATGGCTTTGATATTATGCCTGAGGAAAATCACGTTATTCAATTGAGTGGAACAGTTGGAACAGCAGAGGACCTTGAATGGACGTACATCGGGGCGAGGGTTGGTGAAGGAACGTGTAAGCCTAGGCTCTAGATACCTAGGCAGCACATACAAGCCTATTACAGCTCCTCGTAGTGAAGTAAAGCTGAATCTCTCCCTTTCCATTGCCTGAGCCAAGGGAAGGCGTTGACAACGCCAGAAACGCTAGGGATGTTAGCCTGGTAGAGACTTCTAAAAATTCATTCAAGAGCTTCGCATTCTTGACTATGAGCAACTGACTACGTATGTCAGCATTATTGACGTTCTCGGTGTCCGTGTGGACGACCTCAGTGGCATAGCTTACCCACCGTAACTCCGGTGCTAGAATACTCATGACTTGGATCAGCCTCTTTTTTCCCCAAGAATTGTACATAATATTCTCATTAAGTGTCTGCCCACAGTGTCACTTCTTGTTTCGCAGCTTCCCCCACTAGCGCATAACATCCAGGAATACACAGCAGTTCGCTGGTGATGGTCTAAACGGCTGTTGTTTTGACAAAACTATATAGCCCTAATCTCTTCGTGATAAAATTCGCTGAAAAACACATAGGATTTATTTACTAGACAAAACTGCGACGTTGCGTGGCTGTCTAGCAGCGAATATGAGAAAACACCAAAAACCAAGAGCGTGGAAGCGCCGATAATGTGGGAATAGCTTCACATTTTCTGTTTCAGTCGGTGTAGTCACGTGACTCTCTTGACGGCTGAGCATCACGTGAAGGAAGCGTCAGGTGCATAGCCACGTGACAACCAGAACACACAGCAGACAAACCTGGCAGAGCTCCACACTTTATGTTTTGTCGCGAAAAGATCACGACCTATTCAGTATACCATTGATCGGATGCATTGTCTGATTCCTGATTAACACAAGGTGAAATAGAACGCACTTAGGTGGTTTGATTGCAGCATGGTCGTGAAATTTTGAGTGTATTGAGTTAGCGTTAACGACCTGGGCCGGGCTGTCTCGGTCTCCTCACGTCGAGCTTCCGTCATGGTTTCGGACGCGATGGCTACCCTAGAGAACGTCATGTCTCCCAGGTGCTATGCGAGTTGAGACAATTGTACTGCAATATGCTTCAGAGAAACCACGAGACGAGGCTGGATCATTCTACCTATCTTGTGATTGATACCACAACTTATTGTACGGAGTATTCAACTTGCAGAACTGAGCTGCGTAACTTTACTGAGGCCCGCGATCACTCTCAAATGGAGGTGCAATCTGCCTGCTTGCGCGGGGACTACCACCACTGGGTACTGAGCAGGGATTTGGACCAATCATAGTTAGTCTCCTCTTTTCCCCGCCAGATCCGAGATAAGGAATTAGCACAGTCCTTTGCGAATTTGGTGGTGGGTCAGATGATGCTTTAACAGTGGGGGTGAGTACGACCTCCCCGCGCAAGCAAGGAGATAGAGTGCAAGATAAGAATGCGATTGATACCAGTGTGGAGCAGTGCCTGTTAAGACACCTGGACCTTGTACCAAAACAAAGCGCGCCCACTAGGGATGACAGTGGTCCCTGGTACCTTCAGCCTTAACACTGATGTCACATGTAATCTTATTTTCAGCCGTTCCAATTTCGCCTAGTCCACACCGAAAACGGCATCGTGGAGCGCCTCATTCGATAGTTTAAAGATGCCAAGGCGACCCAACATCTGCTGCCAGCAACGGGTTCACAACTGCATAACAGACCCTTGGAGGATTGATGATAACTGGAAAGGAATTTCCAGCGTATTTTCAGTAACAAAACCACTGAGAATAATAGTTTCGATATCCTGTAATCTATGCCGCTTTTCTTTCGCATGTTCATTCCATGTCAGCATAGAGCAATCGCTGACAGACCGAAGAATGGGTATTATCTGCATAGGTCCCTGCCGCTTCAGCCGCGAACGCCACATTCTGAAATAAGCATAAATAATATCGAGAAGGCAGACTCAAGCATGTAAGGCCCCATCCCTGGGACACAGAGTAGAGGCCCCCCCTTCAGCTCCTCGGCTGTTGCGGCACGTCTTCATTCTTCCGCATCTTGCTCAGCTGCTCAAGCAGACGGACTTTGACGACAATGACTGCAAGCAACCCGACGCGGACTACGGTCTGGCTGGGGCTTGCTCTGCTGTTTTCCGGGCTCACTACATCTGCCAGGGCAGGCAAGTACCCTGCCTGAACTGAGGCACCGTTTGCCTTCTATCGCTAACACTCGTTGCAGCCTGCTCCGCCGAGGATCCCCTGACGCTCACGGAAACGACCCAGGTATCCAGCATAGCAGAGGCTTGCGCAACGTATACCGGTGACCTGGAAATCGCCAACCTCACGGATTTTGTTAACCTGACGGGCATCGAGAGAATTGATGGCGAACTGAAATTCGACAACTCCCTTGCCGTTCAAGACGGTGCCACCATCTACAGCTCGACCCTCAATAACATCACTGGAGGGTTCCTGGTCTATGGCCCTTCAGAAGCCGATCGGCCTTACGGGTGGCTGAACGTGTCGCTGCAGGCCCTGCAGGAGGCCTACTCCATCGGTGTCTACGGACCATGGGCCCGAGTGCTGCTGGACACGGCTCCGGAGCTGAATGTTACGGACGCCTTTATTGTCCATGGAGCTGACATGATGCAAGCTTCTGATCTCTACGTGAACGCCACTTACGTGTGGTTTCTCCAAGTGACCGACATTGACTTCTTGTCGGACAGCGTTCTGACGTCCTCAACTGATCGGGTCGGGTATGTGGTCGTGAAGGGCAACAAAGGACTGAAGCAGGTACAGCTCGAGAGCCTTGAGTATGCCAGATATGCCATCAAAATCTTTTCCAATCCAGATCTCGACAACATTTCAATGCCACTCACCAATGCGAGCTTTGTGCAAATCCAAAACAATGGCCGCGATGCAGTGGCCTCCCTTCCGGAGCTGGAGTTTCTCGGAAATCGCAGCCACGAATCCTCCATGATTTCTGCTATGGGCGCAGGCGCCGTCTTCCAGGACTTGATCGACATCAGCCTTCCCAAGCTGAAGCAAGTCCACGGCGACTGGAGGTTCTTCGGGAAGCTGAACTTCACATCAAATCTATTCTCAGAACTCTACCTCCCGCGCCTCGAGACAGCGAACTGTACCTTCGGCATCGACGACAATGTTGCACTGAATGACCTCTGGCTGCCCCGTCTCGACTATGTCAAAGACCTCGAGATCCACGCGAACCCACGCCTACGCAATGTGACAGCGAACCTCCTCAAGACGGCGGACAAGATTAACATGACGGGCCCCTTTACCAACGTCGAGTTCTTCAGCGTGGAGACGGTGACGGGAGATTTCTACCTCGTCGGGGATGACACGATGGACTGTTCATGGTTTGACGAACACTTTCTGAACAATATTGTCCAGGGCTCATACAAGTGCGTTGGCAACCATACCAAGCCTGAGACGGAGCGGAAGCCCAGCACGCCGACGGATGAAGCTCAGCTGGAAGCTTGGGGGTCGGGTAAAGATGGTGGTAGCGACAGTGGCGACGACACCGGAGACCAAGAGGGCTCGAGCTCCGGAGACAGTTCCAATGGAGGAAGTGGAGGAGGTCTCTCAACTGGAGCGAAGGCGGGCATTGGAGTTGGTGTTTCCGTCGTGGCCTTGGCCTTGATACTTGGCGCTTGGTTACTCTATCGCAAGAAGAAAGCACAGAGAGCACCCGAAGCTGCGCCAACCGTTGACCCGGGGTTCCAAAAGGCTGAACTTGATGGAAATGCCAACCCAACTCCTGTGGGTATGGAGAAAGATGAGAGCAAAATGGGCGTCACAGAAACGGTACAGGTTGGGGAGCTGCCTGATTCAGGGAAGGTCGAATTGCCCGCTAGAACGGCGAGGGTCGAACTCCCAGCTTGAGACTGAAAGTCTCATTGGGGCGCTTAAATGAGCACTTGATGTAATGAAGGTTTGATTGGTCTAGCTAGTCATTGGATTTGCTGCCCGATGGTCAAATTTGATCATGGTTGTGTTGATAATGTGACATGATCCCATCTGTTGAGAAGGTGACGCTTATTTAAGAGCCGGACATGCAATCGCTGTCCTTCACTTAAGAGTCCCTGGGTCCGTGGAAGCGAGGACGGAGATGCATCCTCCGTTTGCCATCTCGTGCAAGAAGGGGCTTCTTAGATCCGCGGCTGCGAGTACGAAGAACACGAAGGGAGCGGACCTTGTTGTTGGAAGCCACGGCCACACGTTCGCATCGCTCGCCGCCGTCACCGTTTCCACACCGGAAGGGGAGAAGACAGCAGCCGTCGTCGGCGAACTGTTCCAGGCCGTTGGCGCCTTCGCCGAGGGATTCGCAGTCGGGGCCGTTGGGGAAGCCACAGTTTTCGTCGTCAGCAGCATTACCAGCATTGTCTCCATTGCCAGCATTACCGTTGCCGGCGTTATTGTTGTTCCCGGCGTTGTTGTTGCCCGCATTGTTGCTGCCAGCATTGTTGTTGTTGTTGTTACCGTTACCAGCGTTATTGTCGTTATTGCCAGCGTTGTTATTGTTGTTGTTCCCAGCAACAGCAACCCTCTCACACCTCTCACCGCCATCGCCATTGCCGCATCGGAAGGGGAGTAGACAACAGCCGTCATCAGCAAACTGCTCTAGTCCATTCGCACCCTCGCCCAGGGATACACAGTCGGGTCCATCGGGAAAGCCGCAACTGAGTGCCTGTTAGTATGTGTCATCTTGAGAGGGTTCACAATTCCTACCCATCCTGCGCAAAGGCGCCTGCAATAAGGAAAGACAGGGGAATGAGGACCTTCATTTTGAGCATCAAGAGGAGGAAAAAAGAAGAAATCTGCCAGCAGATATAAATAAAGTAGGTATCGAAGAAATGAACAAGCTCAAGCACACAGTGACTGATGGTTAGAACTCCGAATCGGTTCAATCGCGACGGCAGCGAGCCCTTATATGCTCTGGCTGTCGAGACCCTTAAAACTGCATTATAGCCATCGTTCATACCCCTGGGTTGCCAGCTTAGACGCTTCCGTTTCAGGCAAGTTTCTGCGCATCTTGGCCACACGCGATGTCACGTCGCCTGTGTTAGAGCGGAGACAACAAAAAAGGTTCTTTGACTCCATTTCTATTGGGCGTCCGTTACAGGCTTTCTCACGATTGTCACATCCTGTTTCACAGCTTCCCCAGACGGCGCGTATCATCGGGGGGATCTAGCCTGCCCCCAGCCAAGCATTTCAGGAACGTCGGACAACCCCTTGAAGAGGCGACGACCCGGACGGCAGTTGCTTCGATGGAACTATGCCATTGACGGGATGCATTAGCTGTTTGAGGTCTAAACTTGGCTGGCGAATAAGATTAGGATGATTTTTTTTTTTGGAGAAAGAGGAGGCAAAACCAATGCTGGTAGATGTCTGTATCACGTATAAAATTCCCACCACGGCCATATTTAGCTGCTTTGGGTACACAGTAACATATTGGGCTTCTTCCAAGCATAGGTACTTCGCGAGAATGCCCTCATCTAGTGACCGAGGATCAGAGCTTATTTATAGAAGTAGCTTGACCGAAGCTACGCTTCCAGAAACTACATACCTTGAACAAATTAGAATTGTGTCTTTTTAGATGACTGAAGTCCGAGCCTTCATGAGATAGGTAAGCTAGAAGACACTTAATTAATCAATGTATTTCCGTAAACTTGCCCACGGCGGATATGTCCCTGCTGTGAGCGATATGAGTATATGCGATCTATTTGCGACTTAGTTATCCCATCAAGGGCCGGGCTTCAACTATATCGAAGAACACAATAAATATGCAAATAAGATACTAGCAGTACCCTTGGACTGCAGAGATGCGCAGCGCTGTCCGCCTAGACTGGTATTAGGCGTCGAGGCGCTCTCCCTGCTAACGGTGCATTCATTGATTGGGTATGCCAGGTTGGGCACTAAATTGGGCCGCGAGGGCTTAGGTTCTCCGCTTATTCTTCAATACCTCGAGCTCTTCATTTTGGATTATAGAACTGATGAACATATCTCGCCAATATAATGCCGCCTCTTGATAAGACACCTCCTAGAAGCGGTGAATCTTCTGTTGCCTGGAAGTCACTGGTCCATCGCAGCGTGAAGGCTTGGCATCATCCCGACCAAGAACTTATCACCTGGGCTAGAGACTGTCTTCAAACATCGACCAGCCTGGACGAGTTTCTAGCGGAAGGATCAAAGCCTGTGGTGTTTTGGTTTTTTCAGCGAAGAGAAGTATTTCTGTCGCAAAAGACGATCCGAAAATGGAGTTGCGATTGCCTAGATGATTACATTCTCTTGCCTGCTTTGGACGGCTTTGTCACGAGGAGCGAATGTTTTTTTGTCAGTCATTTCTGGCAGACAAAAGAACACCCTGACCCCTCAGGCGATTATCTGAAACCGCTCCAACAAGATCTGAGGCTGCAAACCTGGTCATATATCTGGACCGACTGGACATGCCTTCCGCAGCATCCTCGTCGCCATATAGAAGAGCTTTACTTCCGACAGACACTACAAACCATGTCTGGGATCATTCGAAACGCCGGGTTTGTGTGGTACTACCCTCCGTTTGAAGCACGGTTATGGATCCTCTATGAGGTTGCTGAATACATGCTTACATGCTCGGGGGAGATGCTAAGGACTCCAGACAATGAGAAGTTCGTGAGCCACGTCCACGAAATGCTCCAGGTTGGTGTCCGCCCAACAATTCAAAAACACGGCTACCGGTCCACGTACGACGGTGACATGGAGTTTCTTACTCCGTGGTTGGAACTTCTTGTGCTTCTGACAAATCTGCACGTCGACATTGACGACGTAAGAAGATTAATGTCTCACATCACGTGGCATAGCAAGACAGCAGCCATATGGACGAATAGTATGAGTGGACTTATTCGACTTGATCGATTTGAAGGCGAATTGATCATCAACGAAGAGCATTACACATTCACGCCATTTCCTCGATTGGTAAGTCACCTATGGATGTGATGATTCTTTGCTTAACAACGCCAAGCAGGGAGAAGACCAATATTCTGAAAGCGAGATGGTGGGAGTAAGGAGGGGGTTTAATAAAACCATCGGCACTGGCGCAATTGCGATGGTAGCTTTAAGCATTTTCCTTTACATTTACTGCCACTAGTTCGACCACAAGCCTTGAATTCTTGTCTCGATTATTCATCAGGCGGACGGAGGAAACCATCGAGTACCCAGGATGCCGGGCGAGGCTAGAAACACCGGAGATCTTGGATCGATCCGAATATGACTTCATTCAAACATGTACATAGTTCTATCTTCAAAACTCCATCAAATGGATGGTGCCAACGGTGTCAGTTTCAGATACATGCCGCTCTCGGGCTTGATAGTGATGACCCCCCTGGGCAACACCAGCCTGTCGTCCATCGCCAGAGTCCACGAGAAGGCCCGCACCATAGCAGCCAGAAGGCAACGCATCTCGGCCTTTGCGAATCCCTGTCCAATACAGCTTCGTGGCCCATGCAAAAAGGTCTCGAAGTCGTAGTTGCTGCTAGAGCCTCCATTCTGATTCGGCTTCCCCTCCTCAGTGATCCAACGTTCCGGGCGGAATTGTCCTGCATCTGGACCCCAGATCTCAGGTGAACGATTGATGTACCAGATCGAAATGATGATATCGGTTCCTTCGGGGATGAACTGATCACCGATTCGCGTGTCGCAGAGAGCTTGTCTCATGGTAAGAGGTACTGTTGGGTAAAGGCGCAACGTCTCGTGCATGATGCCATTCAGATAAGGAAGCGGCTCTAGAATGCCAGCAAGGTCAATCGTCGAATCACTTTCAACATCCTGAGGCAGGGCCTCGTTGATTTCGTCTCTCAGCTTTTGCTGGATTTCCGGGTGCTTGGTCAGTAGGTAACATGCCCACGTAAGCGCGGATGCTGTTGTCTCGTGTCTGGGAGGATGTAAGAGCAAGCACAGGAAAAGAAGGGGGACAGTTACTTACCCAGCAGCTAGGACAGTCAAGAGCTGATCTTTCAAAGCCTCATCAGAAAAGTTGTTGGTTTTTATGAGAAGCGACAGAACATCAAAGTGGTCATCCTCTTTTTCGGTGATGGCGACCCTCTTCTCTTGAATCATTGGTCGGCAGATGTTGTTCAAAGAACCAGTCAAGTGATTGAACAGATCATTCATCTTCCATGGAATGAGACGGACGAAGGGGAGGCCAAGGGCCAAAGCCATCATGGCGAAGATGAGCTTTTCACGGTCGGGCTCCAGAAGCTCTTCGTATATACCGGCAAGAGGATCCTGCTTCTTCTCGACGGCGTCAAACTTTCGACCCAGGCCAGCGATTCCGATGATGTCAAGCGTGACTTTGCTTGCCCAAGGGCTCAGCTCGATAACAGGTGATCGAGTCGTGGAAATTTCCTGATTTAGTGTTCTTGTCAGGATTTCCGCCTTGTTCCACATCATCGGGTATAGGTTCTTGATATGTCGAAAGTGGAATGCGGGCGTGGTGTTCTTGCGGAGGAACTTGTGCTGGTCGCCTTCAACAATGATGAGGCCATCACCGAGGATGTGTCGCAAAAAGGAGCTGATTCTTGTCGGTTTGGCAAAGTCATAACATCGATGAACGAGGACATCGGCTAGCAGACGAGGATTGGTGACGAAGATCTGGTTTCGGAGTGCGTTGAGCGAAATGAGGTCTTGACCAGGATACTGTTCCACGATATCCAGGAAGAGGTCACCCGAGGGCCTGCCTTTGACAACGAGGGCTCTATGAGCTGCACTCAGGTACGCCTATAGATACAAAAGTCAGAATGAAATGTTGCTTTACATAGAGAACAGGCACGTGGGTCAAACTGCAACACCTGGGATAGAAGGATTGAGTTACTTACTCTTGGGCCAGGGATGCGGCGGAGAGGACTGAACAGAACCGGATACAACAGCGCCCAGAAGAGGATTCCGAAGGCATAGTTGACGCCCAGAATGGTCGCGACAGCGGCTACATGGCTTTGAGAGCTATAGTAGCTTGGGAATAACTTGATGACAAGCAAGGACTCGACTATCGCAGCCAATGTGAGGTTTGGAAAAGTCAAGAGCTTAGATACAACAGTCATGTTGAAGAAGATGTGGTAATAGTTGTATAACGAGCTTGATAGGTGATGAATAGGACAAAATAGCCTCAGTTGAAAGAGTGTCGACCAACCTCAATAATGAAGACAAGATATATAACGAATACAAGGTTGAGAGCTCAACGAATTGTGTAAGTAAAAGTTGTATCTGATTTCCATGTGAATACGTCGTAAGCTTTTGCAGCAGGTGCAGGGATAGCCAAGGCAGCCTTCGGAGTTGACAGGTACCGCTGTATGACACCCAGTCTTGACAGTGATCGGCAGTCATGGCACGCGACCGACCACTCCAAGCTCCAAGGCCGGAGCTAATGCAGGTCGCAAGAGGGATCCAAATCGGGTTTAGAATGCGAATAGTTCACGACAACGTCATGGAGAGGGGAGGCCTTGAAGAGATAGTTCTGTTGACGCCGGACATGTCTAGTTTAAGCAAGCAATTCATTCTTTCACGTGCCCTATGAATTCACATGTTCTCAACATAGTTTTCGTTGCGGAATGGTTTCCCTTCAACTTGGAGACGGAAAATTTCGCAATCTAGGCCGAAAATGGCTGGTGTCGACTCTACCCCGACGGCTTCGGGGTCTTGACAGGGCCGAATGCACATCGGTATTTACAGAACGACGGGAAAGAATGCGGGAAGCAGTCTGTAAGTCAGGAATGACATGAGATAGAAAGCCTCAAAAATTGTCTTTGGCAGAATCGATTCTCTTCCTCTTTCACAGGACTTTGCCAGTACCCATCTCACACAACACTCTAAGCCCAATTTCTTGACATGGCCTCCAAGATCACACTTTGCCTTCTCTTGGGCTGCGCTCTTCTTGGGGGCTACGGTAGCATGTTTACGTCATACCATCATGGCTTTTTCGATGCCCTGAGCGTTTGCATCGCCGAACCTGCTTCCCCTTCACAGCAGTGTGTTCTAGACATGTCCGACTCTGTCGGGTCACTTTCAAACCGCTACACTGGAATCATCCATATCGATTCTTTGATTCAAGTCCTCCTCGAGTTCTTCTCTCAAGGGTTGAGGAAGGATCCAAACCTGGACGGAATCGACATGGAAGCCTTGCTTGCTTTTGGGTATCTGGCGGCACAGTTTGGCGCTGCGTGGTACCTTATGGCGCTTGAAGGTTTGAGGGTCGGGAACCGAGGCACTATATTGAGTTGGTATGTATTGAAAATGGATTTGTGAAACATACCGGATGAGTTCTGACTGTCATGCAGGACTGGAACCTTTGGCGTCATTTTCCAAGGTGTCACTATCACCATCATCGCCCCAATCTACCTGATGCTTCAACTGCTGCTCTCGTCTCCAACGTTAGAGCCAACTTCGATCCTTGCGGACCCATTTGATCTGGCTCTTCTACCCATATCGACGGTCATATCCTACGTCTTGCCAACGATCGGGCTCTGTCTACCGCTACTTAAGCCCCTCTCTCAGAAATCAAAGCTCATTGCCGTGGCTATTTGGCAACCCTTTCCCTTATATCAAACCGCAATCCAAACTGTTTCACGCCTCTTTTTCAGAAGGACACGCGGGAGGTCCAATAAAATTGCCCAAATCAACGTCAAAGAGTGCAGGAAGGCACTGGGCCAAGCATACACCTTTATTGCCTCCCTTACCATGGGCGTACATCTGATGGTGGTGGGAATTATCTTCACGTCACACACTTCAGATCTGATCCCAGAAGTGTCAGGGTATCACATCTTGGCCCTCACCTCACTCACAGATCCCCCAATTCTAGCGCTTCTAGACCCGCCTTTGTCAGTGACAAGTTCAAGGGAGATTGTCGTGTCGTTTTTGAGGTGGGACGTCTACTGCACCTGCGCTTCAATGGTTATCTGGGCCAGCTACCAGCTAAGCCTTGTGCGTGAATCTTCAAGTATTATGGCTCGAGGCCTTAAGACAGTGCTTTGGGGGTTGGTCGGTGGCCCGATCTTTCCAGCTCTGATGATTCTTTGGGAGAGAGATGATATTATCCTGGGTAGGCTGGAGGAGAGTAGTTGGTATCAGAAGGAGGAGTGAGATCCCCTTGATTCGGGCAAAGACAGAATTGGTATCTTTCAATTCATGGAATCTGTGCCAAAGATAAAAAGAAATAGCCAAATCAATCCAGATGCACAAGACCAGTCTTAGCCTGATCCAGTGCCTGACATTGCAACATCAATGAAGACGCCAGCGGGCGAAGGATTTCTTGCTCGTGGGCCCATCTGGAGTCACTATAACTCCCCTCACCAAATCCGACTGCAGACCTAATCCCTATCGTCGAGTTCATTCTCGTCAGAATCTCGCTCGCCTTCTGGAGCTGGTCTGTTGTTGCATAAGCGCAATGCGACACTAGTCTGATGGAGTGGACGATGACGATTGCCGCTGCTCCATCATAAAGCATGGTGGTAGGCCGTCCAGTTGAGTCGACGTCGCCTAATGCAAACGGAACACTCGTTAACATGTCATCAATAGCTTTCCTCACGTCTGATTCTAGGATTGGGATACATTCGGCCCAGAAGTCATGGTGAGAGTTATCCTCTGTCTCCTGGACCAGCTGCAGTTGACTGTGATATGCCAACATTGTCAATAGTAATATGAGGAGTGCAGAGCGAATCAGGATGATGATACAAGCTGTCTCAGAGTCGCAGTACGTCATCCTTGAACTCATTTCTCCGAGCACGGTTGGCGCGGCTCGGCCTTCAAAGGTGCTGTGCCAGTACGACGGAGCCTCCTGATCCCAGACGTGAAACTGGTCGAGCATGTCAAAACACTCTTGCAATAAGAGTTGCTCGTCTTCGGGTTCAGCCCTGCTTTCGGTGCGTGGCCAAGGATCATTCCCCTCCTTCTTCTGTACAGCATACTCCATGTGTTTTGAGAGGCGATGCCGGAGTGACAGGGTTCTTGACATCATGGATAATGCCCGGAGAAGAGGATCAAAGAGCCCCATGACTGTAGCTATGGCACCGGGGTCGGTGTACGTATCGTCTTCGTGTAGAAAGGAGTAGATTTGCTGTCGTCGTGTCCCGTTTAGCAAAGAGTCGGTTGATCAAGATGACGCGTCTACTTACCAGCCGTAGATGAGCCAGAAGAAAAAGCTCAGCTCCCCTCCTGGTGCCAATCTGGCATGGCCCTCGCTTCTCTAGTAGATAAAAAAGCCCTGGGGCATGTTCCTTTGGATCACCCAAGCCCTCTCCACTGATGTCCTATTTCCAGTCAGCGACAAGTCCAACCAGTGGGCGGATAGGAATAACACGTGCCTTGAAGGTGCATAGCAACAGAATAGTAGCAATCACTTTGTCGTCAATGGCTTGACTATCAGTCTGGATGCTCTCTTGCAAGCTTCTAATGGCTCGGCCATAATTCCTAAACGAGTGCGTCCGAAGTTCCTCGCCCCCAAACTGGTTATATGCCGCCATTTGAGCGACGCTGAGGGTGGCTGTTTCGAGCAGGCCATGCTTGTAGTGATCGTAGAGGTCGGGGAGAAAGGTAAAATGGCCGGGGAACCCATCGCCTTCATCGGGTGATACAAATCGACGGACGAAGTAAGAGAGAGATACGTTATCGTGGGATTGCGTCGGTTGTCGAATGATGGTTCGGGGGAGTTGGTCGTGATCTTCAGTTCCTGCAGCGCCATCCTTGACTCGCCTGCGAGACTTGGGCGAGACGCTCCCCCCAGTCGTCTCAGAAGCCTGAGGGCTCGACGCGGTCGGTGAAGCTTTCTCGAGCCCGGGCTTCTGTACAGAGGAATGTCGAAAATGAAACTGGTCAGTGTATCCGAGGCAGGGCTTGCCGTAGTTGTAGCATCTCCGACACGTGGGTTTGGCTTCGTCGCACTTGATGAGAGATATTATCAGTCTTTGCACAACGGGTTCTACGCGTGGCAGAAGTTTCCTCACCTTCACCTTGCGCTGGCGACAGCGCAGACAGCCCGTGCTGAAGCGGCCTGGGAAGACCATGTCGAACTGGCGATACTGATGTCAGAATGCGGAGACGGAGAGCCCAAGACTGTCGGTACTGGGACCCGCGGACGATACAGATTGCGGAGAACGGAGTCGGAGAGATTGTTGAATCTGGGGAAAAGAGGAGACGGTCGGTAAACGCGACAAGGGAGATCAATAGCGTCGACAGGGGTCCTGGCCAGGATCGACATGCCGAGAACCTCAATGAGCCAATGACGCAGGCAGAGAATACAACCAATCTGATTTCAGTTTAGCTTGCGAATCTTCTCTTGGTTTGGATTTGGACCTCGGCAGCGCCTGAAATTGAGACCGTGAACTCCGTTACCGAGAGTCCTTCGAGTAGAGAGAACAGCAGCAAGTAGAGCAAGCTCATCGAGACGTATCAAGTAGTGATATATAATACAACTGCTGTTAGTCGCACAAAGATGATTGTACCCAGTGCCCACAAAGTTGCTTTCAACATACCTAGTCCTACCCTTTTGTCTCTTCCATATACAACCTCAAAATGACTTCACTGCTCTACTCCCCTGCGATCGAGTACATCTCGCAACTCGGTCGAATTATCCTCTCCCCCTTCTTGACAGGGCCATTGCTTCTCATAGCCACCCATGCTCCCCATCTTGCCCACGATGCTCTTGCCTCTGTCATCAGTAGGCTGCCAGACTCAGTCACGGCATCTTTGAAGCCTGCAACTATCAAGCTTGCTTTGCAAGTTCTTGTGGGTCTGGGCTTGATCAGGTCCCTCAACAAGACCCTCAACACCATGGCCCACAACTCTTGGCGTCTGAGAGCAAGCAAAGGCTGGGACTGGCCAAACGAGATCGCCGTCGTCACCGGCGGTTCGAGCGGAATAGGGAAGGACATTGTCAAAAGGCTTGTCAGTCTTGGTGTTCAGGTCGCTGTCCTGGATGTCCAAGACTTGCCAAAAGACTTGCAAGAGAACCCACGTGTCTCTTTCTACCACTGCGATGTTACTTCTGCCGAGTCTGTCGCAGAAGCTGCCGACGCTCTTCGCCGGGAACTTGGGCATCCATCTATCCTCATCAACAACGCCGGCATCACCAAGCCAACTCCCATTCTCAAGATGCCCGAGTCCTTTCTCCGGAGAATCTTTGGCGTCAATGTCATGGCTTTGTGGTTCACCACCCAACAGTTTCTTCCCCGCATGATACAGCTGGACAAGGGTCACGTAGTCACAGTTGCAAGCATCGCGTCTTTTGTGGCACTTCCTACTGGCGCAGACTACTCGGCCACAAAAGCTGGGGCATTGTCATTTCATGAGTCTCTGGCGTGCGAGTTGAAGCACTTCTACAAGTCTCCAAATGTCTTGACAACTGTCGTTCACCCCAACTTTGTCAGAACTCCTTTGGTTGAAGATTTTGCAGATCACCTCCAAAGCTCAGGTGTTCGGTTTCTCACGAGCGATCAAATTGCTAGTGAAGTTGTTGGGCAGATAAAGAGCAGGAGGGGTGGCCAGCTTATTATCCCACGGTCTGCGTCGGCCATCTCGGGTATTCGAGGGTGGCCGACCTGGCTTCAGGAGTTGCTCCGCGATGGTATTGGGAAAGGCGCAATGCGGTAGATGAGAATCTGTGAATATGTACCGAGCTTAGTGTATGTAGAAGCTGGAATTGAATGCACTGGAAGATGTCTTATCGGAGCCAAATAGCACGTGTAACGAGCAAGCTGTCCATATTCCTCACCGTGCTCACGTGAATAAGAAACGCGATTGACTACCAGCTAGAAGAACTGGGTGATGCGTGATTTGAGAGTAACAAGAACTGGTGTTGCAGTGATCCCTACTGATCTCGACACAACCTTTAAAGCAGATGCCGAGGTATGTTTCCTCGCTGGCGGGCTATGTAAGGGGAGCAATCCCTCCCGTCCCGCGTAAAACGTTTTTACACTGTCAACCTTGCTTGAACCTACGACAACCATCAAAGAAACAACACCTTGTCAATCAATCTGCCCAAGACTTTAAACCTTTCACCATGGCTGCCAATTCTCCCTTGAAAGCCTTGTTCGCCTACATTTATGTCCTCCTTTACTCGCCGTGGCTACTCTCTCACTTTGGTCTTGACGTTGCCCTCTGCCTGCTTCCATGGGCACGGCCTTCCCGGCAGTGGTCACTGAACCAGGCTGCTCGCATGCGCGTGGTCAGGCTATTGCTACTGTACTGGTCGCTTACGAAAGCCGGAGATAGACTCAATCTTCGCCCGGGACGAGAGAAGAACCGTTTCGAAGTCGTCGCGGCGAGGTCTCCCAAGCTATACAGAGGAGTATTAGCAGACATTACCATTCTGCCTGCTCAGCTGGGCTTGACTTGGATACCAGCACGACCACCACCTCCTGAACTGGTACGATCGAATATGATGGTAGCTCTTCACTTTCACGGAGGCGCCTTCGTTATCGGTAACGGCCGTGATGAGGATACTGGGTACGTTGCTCGATATTTGATAGAGCAAACAGGCTGCACTCATGTATGCACGCCGCAATATCGCTTATCTAGTAGCGACGGCGGGCGCTTTCCCGCTCCGTTACAAGATGCTCTCACGGCATATCTCTGTCTGATCCAGACCAAAGGCATCCCGGCCAGCCAAATCATCCTATCCGGTGATTCGGCGGGAGCCAACATTGCACTTGGACTGTTGAGGTACATCCACGAGTATGGCCAACAGGACGATATTCCATTCCCTCGAGCCGTCACTCTTTGGTCACCTTGGGTTGATGTGAGCGCAGCGCTCGAGCAAGACATGACGAAGTCGCCCAACTACAAGACCGACTATCTCAGCAAAGAGTTTGGGCGATGGGGTGCCTTGACAATCTCGGAATCTGGCATGTTTGACCCGTCGGGCCCATATCTATCACCACTACGTCACCCCTTCAAACCGGACGTCAGCATCCCGACGTTTGTCAATGCGGGAAGCAACGAAGTCCTCTATCACGATATCCGGGACTTCTGCGAGCGCTATCAGAAGCATGGTTGGATGATTCACCTGGACATCTCTGAACACTGCCCCCACGACATTCTTTTGTTGGGACCTCGGGTCGGGTTTGGGGCCGAGGCAGAGAAGGCAGCAGAGCACGCAAAGGATTTCCTTATTGAGGCTGCGGGCATCAATCTACGTAGTTACAGCCGAGACTCATTGTCGTAGAGTAGTAGCTTCTCTCATAGGTAGATCCGCAATTTCACATGCATTCGATTCAGAGTCAGCGGGGTAACTCGCTCTGTAATGACGCGCAACTGTCATGATCATGGGACTCTCAACGGCTGGTGTGCATGTCGATAGTGAAGCGGAGCATCGGAGCAACTGATAATTCCTTGCCAGCCGAAGGTTATGCAGTCTTGACAGCCAAGTCGCGTAGTTGCATTCGGCTATGCCCCCATCCTGAGCAACCCTACCTCCCGCTAACGACTGACAGGTTTGTGTGGACTGCCTAACCGGAGGGGGACAGGATCGTCCAAGGCGCAGAGGTTGAGCACGTCTTTCCCCGCATTGTCTATCATGAAGCCGACCCTCGAATGGGGTTCCCTTGTGCGGTTTAGCTTGCGATCTTGAATCTGGTTCCGCGGACACCGCGCCCCGAAGGAGAAGAGGGACCACATACAGGTCCGATGTGATCATCCGACACGATCTTTAGCATGAAATGCGTGGTTTTGAACGAGTTCACATGTTATCAGTTGCTCTCTCGGAAACTAGGCTATAACTGGGCGGTTAACTTGACGCGACACGGCAATTGAAAGACACCGACGCCGGCAACCGAGGCTCCAACACGCGTTGCGCCACCCATGCAAGGGCAATGACGATGGTGGAGATATTGATGTCTAGACAATATATGGTCATCGCTGAACAGCATTATGTTTCGCTCATGAGTTAGGTATTTAGAACTTCTTTGTTTATGCAGAAACTTGCAAGCCTCCTGCTTATTCTCAACATCTTTTGAACTTCATTTTGATCAATCATCTTTAAACGCGATGGGCAATCACGCAGAAGAACCAGTCGCCAATTCCACCATCCAAGATGGTTTGTTCTTCGATGTCATCATCATCGGAGCAGGCATCTCTGGAATCAACGCTGCATACCGCATCCAAACCGAAGGACCATCCGATCTCAAATATGCCATCCTCGAAGGCCGCGACTCCATCGGAGGTACATGGGATTTGTTTCAATATCCCGGCATTCGATCGGATTCCGACATCTTCACATTTGGCTTTCCGTGGAGCCCGTGGAAGCACAACGAATCTTTGGCTGCTGGTGATAAGATCAAAGACTACATGATCGAGTCCGCTAGATCAGCCGGCATTGATCATCATATCTGCTACAACCACACTGTGTTGACGGCAAACTGGCACTCCGGAAAGAAGACGTGGGAGCTTCAAGTGACTCGGCCGGGAGAGGATGAGCCTGCCCTCTTTCAGGCCCGATTCCTGCTCCTCGGCACCGGTTACTATGACTACCAAACACCGCTCCAGACAACGATCCCAGGGATCGAGAAGTTTGAAGGAAAGGTCATCCATCCCCAGTTCTGGCCCAAGGACTACGACTACACACACAAAAACGTCGTGGTCATTGGGAGCGGCGCCACCGCTGTTACAATTGTGCCATCCATGGCCGATAAGGCGGAACGGATCACTATGCTACAAAGAAGCCCGGGATATATCTTTCCCTTGCCATCGAATAGTTTCTTCACAACTCTCCTTTTCACCATTCTACCCGCAAGTGTCGCCCACTTTCTCAACAGGCTTTTGTGGCTGTTCAGGAGCTATTTGACAACACTTCTTTGCAAGTCATGCCCTGGTTTGGCCAAGAGAATCATCAAACACGTCACTATCAAGCAGCTCCCTCCCGATGTCAGCTGGGACCCTCACTTTAAGCCTCGATACAATCCATGGGAACAAAGATTCTGCGCCTGCATGAATGGTGACTTCTTTGCCGCCATTCGGTCAGGTAAAGCGGACGTCGTCACTGATACGATCAAGACGGTCACTGAGAAGAGCATTGTGCTTCAGTCAGGCGCAGTCTTACACCCGGATGTCATCGTCACGGCCACCGGCTTAAAGCTGCGATTTGGTGGAGGAATCAAGTTCGCGGTAGATGACCAGCCCTTCAATGTCGCAGACAAGTTTGCGTGGAGGGCGGCCATGCTCCAAGACGTCCCCAATCTTCTCTTCATGACAGGCTACGAGAATGCATCGTGGACACTTGGGGCCGACGTCAGCGCTCGGCTCTTTGTGCGCATCCTCCAGAAGATGAAGCAGCGAAAGGCGAGTGTTGCCGTGCCGCGGAACGCTGCGTCCAAGGACATGCCGGTGAAGCCCATGATGAGCTTGAGCTCAACCTATCTGAAGAATGCTGGGGCAGTGTTTCCAAAGGGCGGAACAGGATTATGGAGCCCAAAGTCCAATTACTTTTCCGATATGGCCGGGGCCAGCTGGGGAGATGTGACTAAAGACTTGGAGTTCTCGTAGCCTGTAGGAAGAAGTATGGTACCTGTGAAAGGTTCTGTTAGGGTTGTCAATTGGTATGAATCTGAATATGTAGAGAATATGTTTTATATTTTTTAACATGAATCATGCTCCGATGTTGCTGCAGCGAGTCGAAATTGTTTCATGAGTCTCGACTGAATGGTTGAGAGTCACAGTCCCTGTTTTTTCCTCACATCGTTTTCTCGTCCAATCATTCGCAATGAAGTCTTGAGGGGACCATGAGATCGCATTCTAAACTCCTTAAGGGCCTAACCAGATCGTCTTGATGCCCTTGAGTGCGGACGTTGCCCGATCGGTTCGCTTTGCGCCGTTATCACAGACCATGTATATCCTGCAATGACGTCTCTCCTCCGGCCGAGAGATCGGCTTCGCTACGTGCGGGGTACATTAGCTCCTACCAGTACTGCCGAAGCCCCAAGATGCTGGTTCCGAGACACCAACTCCAACGTTCCTCGTGGCTTTCCCGATTCAGGACCACCTTCCGAGCAGGTCAACACCGTTGAGTTGGCCAAGGCGAGACTTGACCTTGTTTAGTTCTATCATAGTGACTATGATCATAGCCGAGGAACAACAAGCTGCGGAGCTACCATCCGCTTCGGCCAACATCCTCAATGCCCTATCAGATAGCTTGTGATTTCGTATCCTTCAACATGCGGCACAAATACTTAGACATCACACTCAACCCATAACACCCCAACTGGTCACACACAGCATTACTTTTCCGCATATTCTATGAACGTTTTCTTCTCTTGTAGCCTCAATCAATCCTCCTCGACTATTAGCACTCTAAGTCTCACCATGTCAACTCCGTCGGAGCCCGGTACTCTTGGCAATTTGACCATTGACGAAGAACGCAAACTCCAAGAGGCATGGGTGCACTTGCTGCGACTCTGTGGGCCTTACTGTGTTAGCCACGATGCTCCCCACAGAAGCCATGAGTTCCAGCATCACCTCAAGGACAAGTCACCAGAGAGTTTCAGTCGCCTGCTTTGGGGAATGATACTCGCCGATCATCCTGATGCCACTGTCCTCCGATTCCTCCGGGCCCGAAACTGGGATGTGTTGAAGGCAGTCAACATGCTCGTCTCTGCAGTCAACTGGCGAGGCGAAAGGCGTGTTGACGAAGTCATTGTTGGAGGAGGTGAGAGTGTCAGGTTGAAGAAGACGCAATCTGTGGACGAAGAAGCGTTCATCATGCAATACCGCTCTGGAAAGAGCTACGTTAGAGGCACCGACAAAGACGGACACCCAATCTACATCATCAGAGTTCGACTTCACGATCCACATAAGCAGTCGCCCGGCGCCATGGAGACTTATGTCTTACACAACATCGAGACCCTCAGAATGATGGCACGAGACGCCCATGATAAAGTCTGTCTGATCTTTGATCTGAGCGGATTCGGCCTGCGAAACATGGATTTTCATGTTGTCAAGTTCCTCATTGAGATCTTGGAGGCCAGATATCCTGAAACTCTTGCCTCAGTACTTGTCCACAACGCTCCGTTTGTCTTCTGGGGTAAGTAGCCTCTCCGTTACCTTGTCGATGTTGAGATTCTAACCTCATTGGATAGGCATATGGAGTGTCATCAAACATTGGTTAGACCCTGTCATCTCGTCCAAGGTTCACTTCACCAGCGGCACAAAAGCCTTGACAAAGTTCATTGCCAAGGAGAACCTCCAGACATCTTATGGGGGTCAAGACACCTGGGAATATAAGTACATCGACCCAGTACCGACTGAAAATGAGAGGATGCAATCAGAAGAGAAGAAGCTCAAAGTTTTGCAGGAAAGAGACGAGCTGATTGATCAGTTCAATCGATTGACGGCGGATTGGGCGTCTCTTGAACCAGAGTTTGTTCTAGGAAAAGAGAAGAACGAGGAGAGAGATCAGCTGGTGAAGGTGCTTCAGCTGAATTATTGGAAGTTGGATCCATATGTCCGGGCGACAACTTACTATCATCGAGTTGGGGTGGTAAACAGGGTGGGAGATGTCGACTTCAAGGCTGCTAGATAGCTGTTTCTTGTATGTGCATTTGGCAATGATTACAATCCCGTAGTTTGCAAGTAAGAACCATGGTTAACTTGGCTTATTCTACCTCCGAACAGTAGTTGTTATAATGTTCATGATTGTACTAGACTGCCCCTTCACCCTCACTCAATACTAATATAAAAGTACATGCGATTGGTCAACACGCGTCTTTTATCACGGCAACCAGAGAATCTGGTTCAGGTGAGCAATTAACCACAAGCTTCTTTGCCAGGTAGGACACTTCACAATAACAAGAACAACTTCACCATCCGACAATCTTCCTCGGGACACCATTCCAGATGGTTTATTTGGACTTTTGAGGCGAACCGGGAGTTTGCAAATGCCTCTCAAGTTGTTCAAACCTGGCCTTTGCCTGGAGAATGACCTATCATTCATGTCTGTTGGTGGTTGTGCTCGCACGGTTGCAGGATTTGGAATAGACTCGGCGCTATTGATTGTGACACTCGTTATCACAAACCCCCCTTGTCACATCCCTGCCAAGGCAATTTGGCTATCGCCATTTAGGCAATCCGTGTTTCAAGATCCTCAAGGAACTTTTTGTGACGGAAATTGCTCTGCAACCCGTCTCGCCGATCCTCACAGCGGGCGGCTCATGTGAGCTGCTCCCGAAATGAGATAGCTTGCGAGGTGCGGACAGGAACTAAAAAGATCGGCTCAACGATCCGGCTGGGCCAGAACCAGGTTCCCCGCGTTCACGGCCGAGGAAACAAGAAATCGTCTGGGGTAATCGTGGGGAAGTGGACTCGCCTGCCGGTGTTTGATTGCAGTGCTAATCAAAAGCTCGTGGTTGGGCGGGCCAGTGTTATCTTGTATAAACACAGCAATGGCGTGTGATCTTCTCTCCGCCCTTGCTGTATCGACAAAGACGGGACCAGGACCAACTTTTGCATCTCCCAGGCCGTTTTATCGCAGTCATGAAGATTTCCAACCTGTTCGTCGCAGCTCTGATACCTCTCAGCCATGCATCCCCCAAGATCGTCTCGGCGCCTGAGCTGCAGCTGGTAGAGCTCCTGGAAAAGCACAACCTCGCGCTTGTTCCTCGTTCAGAGTTGACAGATGCGCTGAAGGAGCTCAATGTGCTACTCAAGAGCAGCGCCAGTCTCCGATCGCCAGTCTTGCTCAAACGCCAAAATTCCACAGACTCAGGTTCCAGCTCGAGCTCAGATGATGGAGAGTCTAGCCGGGGCATCAGTATTCCTGGACTCGGTGACCTAGGGGAGTCTCTCGGCGGCCTCACCAAGGCGCTCGGAAATCTCGAGGGCCTTTTGAAAGCTCTCGGTGATTTGCTCACCCCCGAGTTTCTCCAGGCTTTCCACGATGCCATGGTCTACCTCGCCGCGACTTTGAAGCCGCCTGTTCCCAACACCATCAGGGCGCTTCTCACAAAGGCTGGTCCACTTATAGATGTGGTATCAGAATTGGACTTGAAGGGACTGGTCGATGAGATCAAGGATGTCGACATCGCTGGCATTGTCAACAAGGTCCTCAAGCTCCTCACAACCGACAATCTCAACAACATCGACAATCTTTTGTCAAATGGTGCAGCTCTTCTGACACCCGGCTTCGTCAACGGCACCCAATCTCTCATTCAAGATGTTTCGCCATTGCTGGGTGATCTATCGCCGTTACTCAAGAAGCTGACGGATCTTGACCTCGATGGGATCCTCCAAGCTTTGGAACCTCTTCTCAAGAAGGAATCGATCGAGGATGTCGTGAAGCTAGTTGATAGCGCACAAACATTACTGTCGCCTACTTTCGTCAAGCAAATCCAGTCCCTCGTCAAGGACGTCTCACCCTTGCTGGGTGATTTATCACCACTCCTCAAAAAGCTTACAGATCTGGACCTTGATGGCATTCTTGAAGCTTTGGAACCGCTTCTCAAGAAGGATTCGATCGAAGACGTTGTTTCTTTGGTCAAGAACGCAGGAAATCTACTGTCGCCAAATTTCGTCAACCAGACACAATCCCTCATCGAAGATATCGGCCCCGTACTTGGCGACATCTCACCACTTCTGAAAGAGCTTACAAAGCTGGATCTCGAAGGCCTCCTGGAAGCAATTAAGCCGTTGCTCACAGAGGACTCGATCAAAGGCATCGTCAGTTTGTTGAAGAATGCTGGCAGCCTCTTGACACCAAAATTCGTCGATCAAACCCAGGACCTCATCGGCGGGATTGGCCCAGTAATCAAGGACCTTTCTCCGTTCCTGAAGGAACTCACCAAGTTGGACCTCGAAAACATCTTGAAAGCGCTGCAGCCGCTTCTCAAGGAAGACTCTATCAAGAGCATCGTGGGCCTCGTGAAGAATGGAGGAGACCTCTTGACACCCAAGTTTGTTGACCAGACGCAAGAGCTCATCGGTAGCGCATCGCCGCTGATTGATAAATTGTCTGATATTGACATCAAGGGGGTTCTGGATGCTTTGAAGCCGGTTCTTACCAAGGACTCGATCCAGGGAATCGTGCAGCTCTTGCGCAACGCAGAATCGCTGTTGACAAAAGATACTGTCGCAAGTCTGAAGTCACTTCTTTCTACTGCATCGCCTTTGATCAAGAAGCTCTCGGATATTGATCTGAAAGGAGTTCTCGACGCCTTGGCACCAATCTTGACCAAGAACTCGGTCCAGGGCATCGTGAACCTGCTACGAAATGCCGAGTCGTTATTGTCCAAGGAGGCCGTCGCGAACATCAAGTCTCTATTGTCAAGCGCTGGGCCACTCATCGAAACCCTTTCAGACATTGATCTCGCAGGCGTCTTGAAATCTTTCGCGCCGCTGCTTACCAAAGACTCTATCAATGGCATCGTCGGGCTCCTCGAGAACGCCGAGTCTCTTTTGACGAAGGCCACGGTCAAGGATATCAAGACTCTCCTTTCAAGCGCTGGCCCTCTCATTAATGGCCTTGGCAAGCTTGACTTGGAGGGAGTCCTTGAGGCACTACAGCCCCTCCTGACCAAGAATTCCATCAAAGGCTTGGTTGACTTGCTCGGAAACGCTGAGGATCTCCTAAGCAAGGACACCGTCAAGAGCATCAAGTCACTTCTTTCAAGTGCCGCCCCTCTTATCACTGGTCTTGGCAAGGTTGACCTGAAAGGGGTTCTTGACGCCCTACAACCACTCCTAACCAAGAGTTCTATCAAAGGTCTGGTTGATTTACTTGGCAACGCCGAGGATCTCCTGACTAAGGATACTGTCAAGAGCATCAAGTCACTTCTTTCGAGCGCGGCTCCCCTTCTCACCAGTCTAGGAAAGATTGATCTGAAGGGGGTCCTTGACGCATTGGCACCCTTGCTCACCAAAGATTCCATCAAGGGGCTGGTTGGACTTCTTAACAATGCCGAAGATCTTCTCACCAAGAATTTTGTCTCCCAAACGAAATCGCTGATCTCCAAGGCCGCCCCTCTCCTCGACAGCCTAGACAAGGCCGACTTGAAGGGCTTGCTTGACCAAGTGGGACCACTCTTGAAGGAGATCAGCAAGCTTGATCTGGACAAGCTGTTGGCTGCCGTCCAACCCTTGCTCACGTCTGATTCCATCAAGGGTATCGTTCGCCTCCTCGACAATGCTGAAGATCTACTGACGAAGAAATTCGTCAACGAGACTCAGTCATTGATCTCTGGTGCTGTTCCTCTGATATCTGCACTCGGCAAAGTTGACCTCCCTGATTTAATCGATCAGATCTCTCCTTTGCTTTCAGAAATCAGCAAGATTGACCTCGTCAAGCTGGTCAAGAAGCTATCTCCGCTCCTTGATGAGATCAGTGACCTTGACATCAAAGGCCTGTTCGATGCCATCTCGCCCTTGCTCTCCCCTGACGGCGTGAGGGGCATCACGGAACTGCTGGGCAATGCGGAGAACTTGCTCACCAAAAAGTTTGTCAATCAAACACATACTCTTATTGACGAAGCTGTTCCTCTGGTCTCGGCGCTGGGTGAAATCGACTTGAAGAAGCTTATCCGTCAACTGCAGCCTTTGCTTCAAGCACTTGGGGAGATCGACTTCAAGGATCTCATCGAGAAGGTCAAGCCATTGCTCAATGCTCTTTCGAAGATAGACCTAGCTGGCTTGGTGAAGAAGATCCTTCCGATACTTGATTCACTGGAAGAGATAGATATCGAGGCCCTTTTCGATGCCTTGAAGCCCTACCTTACTCCCAAGACTCTGAAGGGTTTGCTTGGTCTTGTGGGCAACGCAGAAGACCTTCTCACTGCCAAATTTGTCAATCAAACTCATACCCTCATAGGAGGTGCGGTGCCATTGATCAACGTCTTGAACAAGGTCGACATCGAAGGACTGTTCAAGATAGTCGAACCACTACTGAAGGAGTTGGACGGCATTGACCTGACGGGGCTCGTTGATGCTGTGAAGCCTCTTCTCAACGCTCTCAAGAAGATCGACATCAAGGGAATTGTTGAGCAGGTGTTGCCGTTGATCACGCCTTCCAGTGTTAAGGGCATTCTGGGGCTCTTGGGCAACGCTGAATCCCTCCTGAGTCGGACATTTGTGTCACAAGTGTCGGAGCTCATTGGTGATGCAACACCGGTAAGTACGCCCACATCATATCTTTGAAACTGTCACTAACTGAGATCCAGCTCGTTGCTACTGTAGCAGATCTTGTTCACGCTGTGCTGAAGGAATTGATGGGACGAACGTAATGCCGACTTGGGAAGGACACAGGGAATTGGAATGGCGGATAGCTAGTCAGGCAAGGACATATGACTCTGGGATTCTTAATGCGGGCTGATAATGACAAACACGATACCTTTTGGCGTACGGCGTTTAATTGAAATGTTTTGACCAACTTGCATTGTAAACGCTCTGTGCTTGACTTGTCTGTTCTGCTCGAAACACTACAATACCAAAGCCACGGTCATCTAGCAAAATTCCTTCAGAGTCGCCAGATACGCCCTTGGTCGACGCCGTTTCCTGTCTCTGATGTCATGTCGTTCAAATTCGATACATCGTTATCTTGATGCCGAAGAGTTCAGCTGGCATGTGTTAGTCGCGTGGGTTACGGTCGCACTGATGGAAATCTACCCCTGTAGCACATTCTCGCAAGCTAATCTCCTTGGGGGCTCAGCAAAACAGGTTTCCGCATGGGTTCCGCACCCCCCTGTTGGCCGCTATGTGATGGAGGGTAGTGGTCATGCGTCCCGTGTCTTAGGTCGCATCGGGGTATGGTAGTGCCAGAACTCCGCACGACGATCCGGGATCCGGCATGTGAAAAGTAATGACCATCGCTTCCCCAGTGGGCTTTGTCTCACACAGGGACCACAGTTGAAAGCAGGCCTCCAGCCGCCTCGTTCCTCAACTCTCCATCTCCTGGCTACAGCAGCCGAGCAAAATGACTTCAGACAGGGTCAATGTGGAGTCAGAACGGGCTGTTTCGCCCCTTGACGAGACAGCCCGTACAGATGCCGCACCGGCCGCAGACGTGCAGAGCGACAACGCTTCATCAGACGACCATGTTCGGGACAAGGTTGTCCCAGGCCCCAGCAAACGACAGAAGCTCAAGCAGCATTTTGGACGCTTCAAGTGGTGGTATCTTCTTGGACTCATAATTCTTCTCGCCATTCTACTCCCACTCTTGTGAGTTCCCAGCCCGAGGCAGGAGAGATCTCAGCTAACAAAGACCACGCCAGCTTCAAAGTCATCATTCCAGCGATCATTCAGAACATTCTCAATGGCCAGAAATTGCAGATAACCAGCGGTGCTCTCCAGGCTCTTTCGCCAACTCACGTCAACATGAGTCTATTCACGTACCTGGACACGCCATTGGGTGTAAAGATCGACCCAGTTGATCTCTATTTGTACAACAAGAACACGAACCCCTATTCGCCATTCTTCAAACTTCACCTTCCGGAGCAGCACGTCAATCATAAAACAGATCTCGTCATCACGAACCAGACCCTTTTGGTGACTAACGAGACAGAACTGCTAGTATGGTTCAACCAGTTCTTCGACCAGCCGAAGGTCAAGTTGTCCCTCCAGGGCGAGCCCACCATTCACCTCGGCACTCTGAAGTACAAGCGCAGCCTTGAGAAGACGATTGAGGTCCCTTCTCTTACCTACCTCGATGGCTTTGGGTTGCGCGACCTGGAATTCATGCTCAAGTCAAACGATACGAAATTCAACATGAAAGGGCATCTGAACATCCCAAATTCTGGAGTGCTGACCCTCGGGTTGGGTAACCTCACCTTCAATCTCATGTCCGGGGAAACAAGGATTGGTTTAGTCCACCTCTACGACCTTCAACTGAGACCTGGGAACAATTCTGTTCCTTTTGACGGGAACTTCTTTTTCGATGAGCTTGTGCCCAACCTATCAGAAATCCTTGACAGCCAGCAAGAACCCCTTAGTCATGGTTACATCGAGCTCGCGGCAACAGGCAACTCCACCATAGTCAACGGAGAACACGTCAAGTACATCGAAGGCGTTCTAAACAGGAAGCACATAAAGTTTACCGTCCCTGTCATAACACTACTCGGCGACGTTGTAGGCGGCTTGCTAGGTGCAGACCAAGGTTCTCTACTTGGTATTTTCGGCGGGGCTATTGGGAACTCTACCTTATTCGAACATTTACTTGGCCATTGGGAGGGAGAAAGCTCAGCAGGAAACAGGACGAGCGCACGAAGCGTGATGAAGAGATCACAGTCGAGCAGACCTTGGGTGTGGAACCTCTTGAGGTTGGGGCTTAAAGCTAGGAGCAGGTAGTGACAGCCATTCTTACTTAGAAAATACACTTGGAGGTTTGACCAGAGATAACCCTGGGAGATGGTACCCTGTAAGGGAGGAGTATGTGTCTTGGCAGCGCAGGATTCTCGCAAATGCCACCCACTGCTGGGTTGCCCATCTAGCTCCCGTGGCGTGGTGGCATGGAGATATACACCACACCAACAAACGTTAGATACAACGTCGCTCAATACAGGGCTCATAACTACCTAATACAGAGCTCCATGGATAGTTACATACAGCTCTATAAAAAATTGTTGCCACTGGCAGACAGCAGTTAATTATTTCCAAGTTCGGAACTCTTCCAGCCAGCCACGTCATGGCCTACAGAACTGTTGGTAAGGTGCTAGAGTGACTGGTTATTCATGTTTGGCTCTTCTTATCTTGGGCAGCCTCATAAATATTCAGCAAAGAACTTTCAGGCCTTATGAACCGATTGGCGAAGATGACAGGTAGCTAGCTGAGCCACAACTCACAAGGTCAGTTGTAGAAATGTCTGGATCCTGGGGTCTAGAACGAATGTGGGACAACACCCAGACCGACCATTATCCTTGACCAGTAAGGCGCAATCAAGACTGCAGAATATGAGACATTCACTCATGACTATTGAAATGTCCAGTCTGGACCGCAGTCTATCGTTGAGCTAAAGTTACAGTCCCAAGCTGATGCGGGCCGAACCACCAGGTATGGAGACATACACCGACAAGATGGCTTCAATATTGGACTCTAACACGCTGTCTGATTTTTTGGACAATTCGGGGCGAATAAGGAATATTTTCGTTTCTTATGTCTATATATCCCCGTCCTCGAAAGCTTCCTTGCTCCTTTCCACGCGTTGTCTTCACTACAAGCCCCAGTTCTGTCCCCATCAAAAGACCTTATCTTCACACGTTCTGCCAACTCAGAAACCAACATATCCACTATTAATAGCTTTTTTAATGCCGGCGAACTTATCGCCTGCACTATTAGGCTCCTTCCCCGGTCTGAATAGGGGTTCAGCAGCTACGACCGCCATTTCTAACAGCCTGGCAAACGCGGCAGTATTAGCGTTATATTTAAAGATAATATATACGCTAATAAAAGTTTAGAAATTCGCCGGGATATTATATGTCAGCTCAGATAATAATAATTAATAAAAAATATAAAAGAAATAATATAATAAACTTTTTTATATTTTATAACTTATTTTTAAATTTACTAAAGATATTTATTACTCTCTTACTTAAAACCCTACTTTTTATTATTAATTTATTAGTTTCTTAATATAGGGCGTACTAGAAAAGTGGTAAACATACTCCTAGCTCTTTGCTTAAGCTATTTAAGCTAAGACTATTAACGTGACCAGGGTCCTCGGCTGCATTTCCATGTTCTCCAAACCTCCGCCAGAGCTCCTTTAACATTGGTGATAGATGCTTGAGGTGCTCTATCTGGAAACGCTGCTGAAGCTTTCGCAGCATGGATTCTACCTCGTTCTGTAACTGAGTACTGCCGCCGCATTCGTTGCCTACCACGATGAGCGGCCAGGTCATGATGTTTATCATAGTAATCGAGTGGGTTTTGTAAAGGTTAAGGAGGGTGTAAAGGCCAAACATAATCTCGCGCATGTAGTGTTCCGAGACATCGCGCCTATGAGGTGGCAAAGGGGCGAGAACATTACCACGGAAACCTCCTCTCCAGAAATACACCAGAGCGGCTTTGCGCATCACCTCCCACGCTCCGGTCAACGCAACGGCCATGTGGCTTGCCAACCTGCCCGGAATTTTGGGAGGCTTCCAGAGAATGAGAGAAGACTCAATCTGGGAGAGAGTGGCATCCGGAATGCCGTTGATAGCCAAGGCAGGTTCCGGATGAAGAGTGGCGGTGGTTGTATGTTGAACAGGGTGGCTTTGCCGGTGTAGTCGGCTCACTAGATCGATAACGAACGACAAGGTGTCATCATCTGGCTCCTCAAGGATGGTCGAGATGGCTGCTATGATGGTAAGGAGGGACTTGGGATACCCCATAATCACCTCGAGGGCACAGAAATCGGGGCTCGGGGGTGTCTCAGGGGGGTGGATTTCCCACCTTAACCAGGCGTTGTGGCCCTTTTGAGTACGCCCCAGAGCGAATGCTCCAATATCCAAGCGCGCAACCGATTCCTTGACTAGCCGGCCGATGCTACTATGAGTCGTGATGGATGAATCCAAGGACTCAACGAGCGATATCATGCCGTGCATGTGGTGGGACCATTCGTGGGTATCTTCTGGCCGCATGGTTCTGGGAAAGCCGGCGACAGTCAGCAGCAGGGCTGACCCCAGCACTTCAAGTGCGTCATTCTCGCAAGCATTGTTGGACTGCAGCGCCAATATTCTTTCTCTCAAGGTGGACAGAGCGACCTGGTACCTCTCTAGAGCCGCAGTTGATTCCGGGAGACGCTGGTCCTCATAGCACAGGCTCATTTCTTGTCGGATCTGAACACGGAGTAGACCTGCCAGGGCAAGCAAGGCATTTCGAATGGTGGGACACCAGTTGGCAAGGGGCAGCAGCTCATCCAGGAACGGAAGACCCGAGTTGTTGATGGCGGTGAAGCGCAGCCTAGAGACTCGAATAACTGGACATGAGCGAGTGAGCAAGCGAAATGCTCAACGTGATAAGCATAGCTACATACGTAGACGGATATGTTGGTTCTCAGGGCCGGATAGAATCAGGTTGCTTCTATGTAGGCCACGGGAGACGGTCATGGTGAGGGTAGACGGGTTTGCTGTAGATGTTGGTAAAAGTGATGTGCGGTATTGAGTCATGAAGTGAAGGGCGTGGGGTTACTTCTGATGGACTTCCACGTGCAAGGTAAGATAGCTATGGGATCCGCGGAACCCGAGCCAATCGCCCAAAGCACCTGGCCTAGGCTAGAACGAGCTTCACTAATAGAATTTGATTTAAAAAACTATCAGCCTAGGTAAGTAGTTAATCAACAGCGCTTTAAAATACCTCAATTAGACTAGACTTAGAAAAAAAAAATCTATCCTAGAGCCGCAGGCGGGTCGAAAAAACACCGCCGGTACCAGCACCAAAATTGTATGGGGAGAGCGGCGGTGATTTCTTCGACCCGCCTGAGCCGGAAACAAAGGTGGTTTCATTTGGGCGGGCAGCCCTGTTTTCCAACCCCTCTCTTCACACCTCTCCCCACTAGCTAGCCATGTCAGCCTCAACAAGACCGCACGGCGCTCGCAGCTGTGACCGATGCTTCAGCTTGGTATGTGACCTCTATTGCCTCTATTTCTACCATTCCAACCCTCATCTGTAGAAGACACAATGCGACCTGGCCGAGGTGTGCGGCCGCTGCCGACGTCTTGGCCTTGAGTGCACCAATGTGAGGCCCATTCGGCCCAAGGGTCGGCCTCGGAAGCTGGAGAATCCCAATCATCCCAAGCACCCGACACTGGCTCGCCTTTGTTCGCCGATCTGATCAGCTGCTCGTTGGACCAGGTCTCAACCCAACATCTAACTCCCGCAGTCGCTAGTACCCTGCTAGAGCACATGGCCTCTCTCACTCATGGTCACGGCTTCTACGCCGCCCTGCTGTCCATACCCTCACTCACAGGACCCTTTCGTGACTCCAGAACTCTGGCGAGCCCTGAGACCGCACTTACTCCCACCTTGGTCTGCGGCCTCCTGGCGGTAGCGCTGGATCTGTTTCAGCAAAGTCACCTCGTAGTCGACCACCAATCAGCCAAGCTAAATGGTGAATCGCTCCGGGCGAGCTCGTTGGCGCAGATTCCCCACATCTTGTCACGGTACGAAGCCTCTGCCTCTGACGCCCTGTCGTTACTCTTTCTCAGTTATACATGGTGCTTCACACGCGAGCACATGGATGTGTCGGTGAGATGGGCCACTCTTGCGCGAGTCATCATCACCGATGCCATCAAAGCCCCGAAATCTCGCCCTCCGGCTCTTCGAGACTTAGAACAACGGCAAGTCATCTCTAAAGAAGTATAGCTCTTGCCATGGTTGCTAACAGTTACGATTCAAGAGTTTGTCTTGGACTGGGTCTTCATGAATGGTATTGCGCAATCTTGAATGGTCCTCTTGTCATTCTGCCAAGTTTTCTAACGATTTCTATCGCGTCCGTAGTGTTCTTGGTTTGCTTCATTATGGCCACGTCGTTTCAATCTCACAGAAAGGATTTCCCGGGTGCCCGGTCGCTCTGTCGGGTTCGTTACAGGGAAGCGAGCCAGGTTCTGCTCTTACCGGCTCGCGAGGAGGATCCTACTTTGAACTCTTCACTCCACTAATCAGGTACGGCGCAAGGTTCTCTACCTGGGACTATGTTCCACACCCTCAGACATGCTCAAGGTGTACTCTAATTCACATTCTACTAGGATTACGACTCTTATCCTCCAGGAGCCTCATCCTGGAAGTCGAGCTTGGAGAACTGCGTATGACAGTCTTGAGGAGTTTTACATCCTCTTTCCTACCAATCTACTCATGCTAGATAATGTCGAGTTTCTATATCAGGCGGAATCAATGATATGGATGCACGGATTACTCATGATTCTTTGTAAGACCTTCTTGTACCCTCAGCCACCCCCAGCAGCTTTGCCATGGGCTTGAATCCTCACGTCTTGGATAAAGGCTAAACTGGTGTTTGCAGATGTAGGCAGAGACCTGTCCACTATCATGTTGAGACCCAACGTGCTCAACGATGAGACACTGAGACACGTTCTGGGTCACTCGTTGCTTCTAGGAGAGGTATGTTAACTCAAGTAAAAACAGGCTGTTCTGTAGTCCAATCAGCAACCACGGGCAATGAAGCTGTGGAATATAATAGGAATACTAATCTGTTCGACATAGATTCTCGCTACAGTAGAGAGGCTTGGAGGCGGCTTCGAGTTTCTCTCACCTGCGCTCGTCTTCTTCCTGCTCATCTCGTGTGCAGTTCATATTGCCACTCTTGGGAGATACTTGCCCGATCCGACGGATGCAGTAGGAATGACAAATGCAGGGCCCGACGTGCATTGGGCCTCAGAACCGCCCATCCCGGAAAAGCTCGTCGAATCGAGCTGGGCGCATCTTCAAATCCTCTCGGCAATCCGGACGCAGTGTGATAGGTATGACTCGCCACTAATTCTGGATATGCAGAGGCTGCTTGAATCCTGTTACAAGCACCTTGTGCTTGGAGATGCGAAAACTGAAGCTATACCGGCCACGACACTCATGCTTTACCGATGGAGTGGAAGTGGAACAGGAATCATTCCATTGGAGTCTTGGACAGCGTTTGCCGAATGGACGTTCCCATTGCCGCCAGGGGCGGATATCCTTGAGTGCCTGGCCAGTCATAGTGAAAACTCAAGGGCCATTATAGATGAGGTATGTTCACCAGCCAGTAGGATCTGCGAGAGTGGATGTTTCGACTTGAGCATAGTCATAGCCTGATATGCAGGACGATGTTTCAATCCCCTACTCAGCCTCCTGTATTTTAACTTCAAGAAAATACGATATTCTGTTCCTTGATATCGTGTTCGATGGATCCTCGTGGAGATCTCATCAATACTAACAACAAGACAGCATGCATATACTAGTGGGATGAAGAAGGCTATGGGTGACATTCTGTTTTCAGACCGTCGCTGTTGACACTTGTACTATCTACGAAGGTTAACGATTGGTGATTGCTTTTGATCGATTAAGAGCTTGATTCATACTATGATGAAGCGGCACTCTTTGTGCATAACGTCTTGGACAAAGCTGTGCAGATAGCCGTGCGTGGGTAACCCTACGTCATACGACGCTATCCCTCGAAAACCGCCTTTCTTGGGGTCCCTAGTCACAGCGCCCGCAGGTAATTACCGGGGTCCCTCCCATTCCTGGGCTTGTGGTCCTCGCCATGCTGAGGGGCTGTGGGGGTGGGTGTCAAGCGAGAAAAAAGGACCGTCGGGGCATTTTGCACGTTGTGTCTGCGTTAACAGCGGAATCGCAACGCGAACACGACCGATAGACGCCTAATTTATAAATATCAACGTGGTCCCGTCATATAAAAGTATGGCCCTACTTAGATCTTTATGCGCGCTGTTGATCTAATATCCCGACGTCCACATTCCGAGCACAACTACTAAAAATGCCTCCGACTATCTCCGTCTTTCCTAACCTGCCAGCCGTCGAACCCGAGATATACCATGGCCCGGGACTGTACTCGGATCTCGTCGGAACAGAGTAAGCACCACTGTACTGACTGTTTTTGCTGTAAGTTGGCACAGTGACGGTCGCTGACTTTGCAGACCTGGCCAGCAACCCCTCGTCGTGGGTGTTTGGGACATCCTCGACTCTGATGAGCCGACATCGCCCGTGATTGCTGGGACAGATGAAGCCAAATATGTTGTCAAAGGTATGGTCGGATTTCTCCTCCATCGTTTTACTACTAAATATGAACATAAATACTAACAACCTACAGGCGAAGCTGTCATCAAGAACGAATGGACCGGGGAGACCCACAAGTTGGAGCCAGGGTCTTTGCTTTGGATCCCGGAGGGTGCAAACCTATCCATTGTGTCATCTCATGGATGTAGAGCTGTCTACTTTGAGGCCAGGCAAATGGCGCTCTCCCAGGGACAAGGCTCAGAGATAACCGTGGAGACCCTGCAAACCAAGCTGGACAAGGCTGTGGCAGATTTTATCCAGCAAAATCCATCTTCCAAGAAGGCCATCGAGAGAGCATGCGAAAGCCTTCCCGGCGGCACAACGCGCGCGGTCCTCGAGTCGGAGCCTTTCCCCCTGGTTGTGCGTTCTGGCAAGGGATCGGCGCTGACCACGGTCGATGGAAGGACGTTTGTTGACTTTGTTTCCGACTTTACTGCCGGCCTCTTTGGGCACTCTCATCCCGCTATTCAGGAAGCTATCCTGCAAGCTGTGCCAAACGGCTTCAGCCTCGGCGCCGTGACCGAGTTGGAAGCCCAGCTAAGCGAGTCCATCAAGGCTAGGTTCCCTTCCATCGATCTGATCCGGTACTGCAACTCGGGCACAGAAGCAAACACGTATGCTCTAGGTACAGCGCTGGCCTACACAGGCCGCCAAAAGGTGTTGGTCTTTGATGGTGCTTACCACGGCGGCACCCTCAGCTTTGGACATAGCCCCAACTACCTCAACATCCCCTACGACTATGTCGTAGGCACGTACGGCGATATTGAAAAGACGCGAGCTGGGCTGAGTTTCGATATCGGTGCCATCATTGTGGAACCCATGCAGTCCGCGGGCGGTATGCGGTCTGCAGGCAAGGAGTTCCTCAAGTTCCTGCGTGACGCCGCCACGACGATTGGTGCGGTCCTTATCTTTGATGAGGTCGTCACATCTCGACTTGATTTTCACGGCATGCAGGGCGGACTGGGCGTCAAGCCTGATATGACGACGCTCGGTAAGTACTTGGGTGGTGGACTACCCTTTGGTGCCTTTGGCGGGAGGAAGGATATCATGGCCCAGTTTGACCTCAAATCTGGCCTGGCTAAGAAGCTCTCCCACTCTGGAACTTTTAACAACAATATTTTCACCATGACGGCGGGCGTTGCTGCATCGAAACTTGTCACCAAGGAGGCGATCGACAGAATCAATGCCCTCGGCGATAAGTGCCGGGAGGGGGTCAGGGCCATAGTCAAGGAAGCTGGCAAGACTGACGAGATAATTGTTCTCGGTGTTGGCAGCTGCATAGGTATTCACTTTCGGGGGCAGAGCGGCGACTTACTCAGAGAGCTCTGCTTTTTTCACCTTCTCTCCAAGGACGTGTGGATTGGACGACGCGGTTTCTTGGCTCTGAACTTTGCTCATGATGATGATAATGTTACTAAGTTTCTCCAAGATTTCAAGGAGTTCTTAACCTTATATAGTTGTTATTAACTTATAATATAATTAGGTGGCTTATTATTTAAGCTACTTTAAGGCTAGATAAGTAAGAGGTCGCATTAGCTATCGGAGTTGGACCACAGCCAGAATCCGAGGCCTCGACGATTGTCGCGATATATTGGGAAAAGGAGATCCGTCTCATCTCAAAGAAGCCATTTCCGTCGCCACCTTGGTGATCCTTTGCGGCGATAGGCGCTCCTCGTTGATCAAAAAGGCCTGAGGGAACCAGTCGCCAACGCTTTGCCCAAGCACCATGCTCGCCAGAGCCTCACCAGCCAGCCAGCAGTACGGCATACCATAGCCATTGAAGCCGCCCACGATCCACTCTCCGTTACCTGAGCGACCAGTAACTTCGGTAGAGAGACCGCCAACGTACGGCGCTCTGTCTGCAGTGAAACCCATGATGCCACTCCACGCACTGACCAACGGGTCTGCGTTGACATCTGTGTAGTTGAAGAACTTGGGTAGGATCGTCTTTAAGTGGTCGACGCAGAAATCGCTGAATGCCGTGTCGTCCCCTGTCAAACTGTCGTCTATGCTGGACTTCTCACCACCGATGAAGTAGTATCCAGTCTTAGCGTTCTGGGTCAGGTACCACAATCCGTCGGCGACAGTCTCAGTTTTCTCGTCATAGAATGGCTCGTAGTGAAATCCATATGAATCTTTGGCTCCGTTGTTGGGAACATTGGGGCCAAGATCCTGGACCGTCATGGTCCCACGGAGAGGAAACAGGAGACCACGTAGACGGGGCAGCAAATGGCTTGCGTAGCCGTTGGTGCAGTGAACAACCTGGCCTACTCGAGTCTTTCCACGGGGAGTACTAACAAGGTACGTATCGTCGGTATAGTCTATACAAGTGACGGGGGTGTTGGTCTCAATGCTCAACCGTCCGGGGTACTTGGCCAGCAAATTCTCAAACACCTTGGTGATGACCCGATATGGCCACATGACTCCAGCGGGGAGAGTTAAACCGCCGACGGAACCATGGACGCCGTGATTCTGTAAAATAGCAGGTAAGAAGGGGTGTGTACAGATAGAGCTGGACACAGGGACAAGTAATCACCTTGAGAACAGTCTCACTGTCGATCATGTTGTATATGCCACCAAGGTCTGGGTGATCCTCTTCCATCTGTTTGATGCTGTCTTTCATGGCAGCAAACGAGGCCTCGTCCAAAAATGTCCTCACCTTTGTCACATCTCGATACTCGCTCTCCTCTGGAGCGTACTCGGCAATTACTTCCTTCATTCTGTCACACGTCTTGAAGCTAAACGCTGCTATCCTTCCTGCCATTTCGCTTCCGAAGTGTGCCTTGTACTTGGCGTAGATCTCGCCGGCGTTGGTGGCCAGCTGGCCTCCATTGCGGCCTGTGGCTCCCGAGCACAGGGATCGTGCTTCAAAGACGATGATCTTGGAGGATGGATTATTCTCGAGCAAGGTCTTCGCGACGCTGGCGCCGGTGATTCCAGATCCAATGACCGCAATGTCTGCCGTTTTACGCAGGGTGCCAGACTGTGTGTTGGCCAATGGATGAGGAACATGCTGCCAGTAAGACGAGGTAGGGTTCTGACGAGGGAGACCCGGATCCCTCGTCATGTACTCCTTGACTAGCTGAGCTGCTCAACCAACAAGGTCAATATCTGGCAAACGAGGTGATAGGAGGAGGCAATGACTGACTGAAGTCCTCTGTCATGGTGTCTCGTCGTGGCGGGTTGGGATCTGATACGTCCGTAGAGAATTGGGCATTGTGACAGATGGAACTAGCTGTTTATATCTTAGGGACTGAGCTCACTGTTGTGTCAGCGATAGCAAGTGCCTGTGGGCAAGTTGTTTCATGCTGAGAAATGGAATCCGCGGATCCCGGTGACTCAAGGACCCCGCGCCGATGCCGAGGCCCGGCCAGGAGTAGCTTGGCTAGCCAACATCACTCGGCGAAACTCCGACCTGGCGCCGCGAGACCCGCATTGGAAAATCGCCGGCGGGACATTTCCATTCAGGCAGGGGTACAGGGTATTCACGCAGCGCAGCTTTTTTGATGGATCCAGATAAGAGTCCCTGTGGTAGAAGCGAAAAGGTGCAAATTTGATGGAATACCTTATCAATATGAGCAGACTCGCACATGTCGAGGCGATAACCACACTTTTTCCTGACTCTCCCTGTTTTTATGAGAGGAGGATGTCAACACACACCAGCAGTTGAGACCAGGAACACCTGTGAGTGCTTCATTGCAAATTGCCCATCTACATCGGGCTTCTCTGACTATCCACTGAATAGAACGGAACGTCTTTTACACCGGGGAAGCACCTTTGGGCGGATAGATTCATCAATCCTACTATCGTGACGGACATGTGACTGTCGGATAGCTTACTATTAGAAGAGCTGTTTGGTCTAGTCCTCCCTGTCATCAAGGCCGACCTCGACTCGGCCGTTGAAATCATCAACCACATGCCCCATCTTCTCGCTCCCTACATTTTAAATCGATACATCCTCGACTCTACGCAGTCTGGCGTACTAATCACCAACAACGTGGGCATCCACGCAGACGTGCCATCCGCACCTTTCGATGGTATAGGAAGCTTGAGATATGGAAGTGACCATGGCAAAAGGGGATTCGACACATTTAGCCATAACCGGACTGTTATGACACTCCCTGAGAGTGGTATTATCCACCTTTCAACCTCGCCAACCGATCCGAGGCAGCTGCTGATAAGCCAAACTTCACAAAGGGGGAAACAATCGAGGACCAGCGAGCTAGTAAGTCCTGGCTGGCTAGGCTTCCGATAATTGGCTTCATGTTTGGATAGATAGCGTTAAGGGAGCGGTCTGATAGGAGATTATTACATATGGCTACCTCTATAAATCCATGACACTTCTCGCCAACGTTTCCGCTGTCTTACGAAGCGAGGTTTGGATCCTTTTAACGTTCACACAGAGCCTGTCATCATAGAAAATCGCACGCCTCCAGGTGACTCTCAAAGCTATACAAAGGGTCTGAGCTGGTAGGCCTGGCTGCTACTATCTAACCTCCCATAGCATACATCTCTCCTGATACTCTTCCTCGAGCGGCCCATCCAGTTTCTTAGGAATCATCATGCGAATCCAATCAATATGCTTCCACCCGAGCTTCTCATACAAAGGCACAGCGTTCATGGTACTCTCGATATAGATGGGGAGTTTCTTTTCTACCGCTACTTGCTTCAGGTTGTTGATAAGAGCACGAGCAGCACCACGACCTTGATAATTTGGCGCCGTGCATAATAGGTTCAGATCTTGTGACGCCAGATGGTTAGCACGGCCGTAATGACACAAGAAGAAGGGAAACCAACGAATGTGAGGCTGGCACATGTTCTTGGTTCGCGCCGCGTTGGTGACCTGGAGATATCTCTGGTACCAGTCGCCGTGATCCGGAATGTCTGCAGGCTTGCTGGGGGCTTCGGCTTCAACGTCTTGGTGGATCTCATACTTGAGGAAGCTCATGATCTCTCCGTGTTCTTCATCGTTCTCTCGAACAACAACTACATTCTCCGGATGCTCCTTGAGAAATACTTGAAACTGAGTGGCAGCATACTCTTGCACCTCCTTCTGTTGCTCTTCCGTGGGGTATTGGAGGAGAAGAACGGCATTGTCGGCCATGGCGGTGATGTAAATTTCGCTGACCCGATGACTGTCGGAAGGCGAGAGGAAGTAGAGCTTGGCCATGGGTAAAGACGGAAGACTAGAAGCTGATTCGAATTAGGATTTGTGGAGAGAGCACCATGTATGATGGATGAAACGGGGCTTATAATGGAATAGATGGGGCCTGCCTCAAGGTGTTAATCGAGCGCCAGAGGGTGTCTCGGTGGCCGAGGGGTCCGCCGTTTCGAGTTTCGCTCCGCTCGGCGCATGAAGAAACCTCTGAGGGGCGTCGGTCGAACGGCTCCTAGAGAAAAAATACGAGTACGAGGCAATTGTTACTAGCACGCATGGGTCGCATTCCTACTCTTCGCAACAGCTAGAAGTATTCCTGGATGATGTCTGAAGGGAGATCGATGGATAGCAGGCCCAATATGTCTGATATAAGGAGGCCTTTCGTGGGGCACTGGATATGTCAAAACGGACCCTGTTAATCATTAATGGGTAAATATGATACTGCCTGAAAGTTATTGCGGAGCTGAATTCTTGATAAAGTATCTATAGCCAGCTACAGTATCTGGCACGTCGTAAGGAGTGAACAATAAGGTGGGTGTGCCGTGAAAGTTTGAGCCGCTTTATTGTGATGTACAGAGTACGGGCTGTCCGGGTTAAGCATGAAGTAATGCAACGCATAGAAAAATTGAGACTAAAGCACAAGCACTTAGAAGGACCTTACAGCTCATTATACACGTCTCAGTGCGGTTAAAGGATAGACTATCTGACCCCACATGGGGTTTCCGCAGAAGATGGAAAATTGGCCGTCGGGGACTTTACTAATCCAGTAGTATATAATGTGGAGGCTAGGGTGGCGTAGACTTGATAGAGAGGGCTGTGTTCATTCGCTAAGTTAGATCACAAGAGGGTCATGAGGGGTCATGAGGGGTCTTTGGCTGAATCGTCTCGTTCTTCAACTCACACCCCACCAGCAAGTTGTCCTCTCAGTGCCCAGGCCTCTCTGTAAGGGTGACAGAAGACGTGGTCTCCGACACGTCTAGACCTGTCAGATCTCGTCCTTAAAAACTTTGACTCGACGTCTAGAGTCTATCAAGTTCAGGTGGACGCCATCAAACATCAGCCAAGGTGCCTTCTCATATACTGTTCATTGACTACCATCTCCGCCGCTCACGTCACCCGCTATGAAGCCTGAGTCGGGTACGACCCGCTTAGCATATCTGTCATCTCACGCGTGCTAACAATGTGTAGCCTCCAAGCTAAAAAGTCTCCTCGAGGCTGATCCAGGTCTGCCGAGTGAGTCTGCGCCGCCCAGCTACTGGATGTTGCCTGAGCATCCTATCTCGTCAATCCAGTCTGCCATTCTCCCGGACAAGACCGACGTGACAGTCCTTGGGGCAGGCCTCACCGGCACCAGCGCTGTGAAAAGCCTGTTGGGGACAACTGATGATTCTACCACGATTGCGGTGCTGGACGCGAGGACGATATGCTCGGGAGCGACGGGCCGCAACGGGGGAAACCTTCTCACCCCAGGGCCTCTCTTGTACAATCACCTACGTTCTACCTATGGACCTGAGTTGGCTCATAAGTTTATTGATTTTACGCACCGAGTGGTGAGTACGACAAAGGAGGCTATGGAGAAAGTGGCACCTGAACAATCTGAAATACGTGCAGTTACACGGATCTATGCCTACAAAGACCAAGGGTTGTTCCAGGCCGCCAAGCAGAGCGTTCTTGATTACGAGGCATCAAGGCCGGAGAGCAAGGGATCGCACATTATACTTGAAAGAGAGCAAGTCATCAAGGTTAGTACAAACTGTGACTTCCGAGACTGGTAGTACTGACATGAGGATAAAGAAATACAGTGTCCGAGGCATTGTTGGGGCCATTGAACTACAGGCCTACTCAGCTTGGCCGTATCGGTTCATCACCGAATTTTGGGCTGCGATGATTGAGGAACACAAGTCTCGACTCAGCGTCGAGACAAACACTCCAGTCACCAAGATTGAGTATGATCCGGACCCTGCGCATCCCAACCATCCTTATGTCTTGAGCACCCCCCGGGGTGTCATTCGGTCGTCTCGGGTTGTTCACTGCACCAACGCATACTCGCCACATCTGCTTCCAGGCCTTCGCGGGAGGTTGTACCCATACAGAGAGACCATGACTGTACAAGACCTCGGGGCCGGCCACGGCGAGCTGCGTTGCTGGGGGATTATCCAAGAACCCCAGACTGACGCCATAACCGGTGCCATGACATCCCAACTCCTCTATTTGCAGCAGAACCTCAAGTCGGGGCAGTATTTCTTCGGCGGGGGCTTCAACACCATCCCTGAGATTCTCAACACGGATGACACGCCTACCGATCCCAGAACATCACAGTATCTCCAGTCTGAGCTATCCAGCTTTCTCGATGCACCGCGGGAAGCTCCCCAGCTTGTGAGCACATGGACAGGTGTGCAGGGAATGACCTCGGACTCGGCACCACTGGTCGGTCAGGTACCCAAGGAGCTCAGCGGTCGAGATGGCAGTGATGAGTGGATTGCAGCCGGCTTCAATGGAGGAGGCATGTGTATGTGTTGGTTGGCCGCAGATGCTCTGGTGACTATGATGAAGGGCGAGCCAGTTCCCGAGTGGCTGCCAGACTTCTTTGTTATTTCCGAAGAGAGGCTGGCAGGGAAGCTCACTGTTGAACGGTCTGTGGAAGTGATGGCTCCTTACTGGAAGCAGCCTAGTTGAACTCGATAAGAGAGGCCTCCTGTCCCTTTAGAATATGATTGGTCCTAGATGTTTGCTAGAGGATTGGTCGAGTCTCACGGGCCATTTTGCTACGATATTCCAAGATGCTGAGAGTCTTTCACTAGTCTGTTTCGCAAAAGCCACTGTGCCTCGTCTTCCTCCGCTGAGGAAAAATAGTCGACTGATCAGCAATGCTTCATCGCATCTGTCTGATGGGAACTTTTTCATGCACCAGGTGCGGTGACCATCGTACGTGGCAAATCAAGTGAAGTGGGCTTGACATAAAAGGTGTTGGAGACACACGCAGTGATAAAGTATTTACGGGATGTTTCTGGTTTCGGAGCTCCAGGTAGTCCAACCACAAGACTGAGATACAAAATTGTCCGGTTACTCGAATACTTGTGGTGATAGCGATTCGATAAACCGGGAAGATCTCAGCAGAGTCATATAACGCAATGACGGTCAACTACTTAACCCGCATTACATGGGACAGGTTCTCACGATCCCTAAAATGTCTTTACTCCCGCACGTATTTCCACAATCACAGACTAAAGGAATCAAAAAGTAGGTAGGACAGTGTAAATTGCTAAACAACAGGTTCAACGGATTGAACGCGTATAAGTACATGACGAAGCAGCAGAGCAACTTGTTTGGAATCGTGGGTAGCCCGCCAGCTTCCTCATAAGAATATGACCTTGGAGCGAAATCGATGGTGGGCTAGAAAATCTACCAAATACTACTTGAATTATTCACTGCCGACTTGCTGCTCCTGTCGCCTGTGTCTGTCCAGCGCGTCAAGGTCGATGCCTTTGTAACTGGCGCCGAAGATCAAGTAGAGGAATGACGACAAAACGATAGTGACCAGAGCTACCACCCAGTTGTAGTTGAATGTCTCGGCGGTCCACGTTGGGTCAGCTGGGAAAGACTCCATGACAATCAGGTAGAGCTGGACGAGGAGAGCCCATAGGTGCACAGGCTTGCTAAAGGCCCCAAGATTCCACGGGCCTGGAATCCACCGATCCCCCGCAATAAGTCGGAGACCAATGGGCAAAGCCATCGTCATGAGCGTTACCATGACAGCCAGGGAGTAGATGACGCTGCTCGCAATCGCTGAGAGCGCAAGAAGAAGGACCACGATTGAGCCCAACGCCAATGCGCCCGCAGCATAAATGGGCGTGTTGGTTCGGGGGTGGACATAGGTTAGGTAACTGGCCAGGGGGAGACCACCATCACGAGAAAATGCCGAGGGCTGAAAGGAAAAGGATAATACCCAGCCACAACCGCTTAGCACAGCAGCGACAGCTCCGGCAAGCAGCCAGGCGAAGGTGCCAGCAGATCCCCAGTGTAAAAGAACGAGGGATATGAGTGGGTATCCACTAGTAAACGACAGCGTTAGCATGGAACCTGGAAACTGAAAAGTATTATACCCACGTAGGATCCGCTGCGAGGACATCCATATCGGAAACACAGAAGGCTGCAATGATCAACAATATGGTGCCCATAACCGCGGTGATGGTATAAGACAAAGTCATGGACTTGGGCGTAACTATGCGGGCATTGCGAGTTCCCTCAACCATGTACGCTGGGGCTGTCCAGGCAGAGTTGGTCCAGACGGCAGCGAACCATGTCATAGGCACAGCAACAGCCTGACCCCAGTTCGAATAGTTTGTATATGAGCCAAAGACATTGGCTGCGGATGCAAACGAGTCTCCGCTGGCTGCATGTGCGGCGGGGAGGCCGATCACGAACGCCAGCGTCTGCAGAAGAGGAACAATTGCTAAAAAATATCAGTTTCATCGGCCACTAAGGACAGCAAAGTGATGGGCAAGCACTTACTACATATAATCATGAGCCACCCGACTTTGTCCAACTGCATCGACATGCCAATGACCCAGATGACGACGATGCCCATTGCCACACCCATCTGTTGCGCTTGATTCGGCATCCAGCCACTGCCAGTGATGAAAGCACACGTGACGAGGATTGATGAACAAGCGTACGCAAAGCTGGCCACTGCCGTGAAGAGAGAGACAACAGTTGTGCAGCCAGATATGAACGAGAGAGATCGGGACATGGATGGCGGTGCCAGGGCGGCAGTCCACCAGTATGTAGCTCCATTAACGGGCATGGAGGAGCAAAGCTCTCCTACAGCAAGAACCTGGGGTAAGAGTAGAAAACTGGGGATAATCCAGCCCCTAGAGCCACCTTAGCGATACACCGACTCCAATAGCGGCACAACGTACCAAACAAGACCAAAGAATCCACCATATGTTACCAGATAAGAGGATACGACCAGGATAGCACCGGCGGGCCTACAGCAAGCCAAGTCAGCAGAGCTAATGCGCACAACGGGCAGGCTGGAAACTCACGACGTAAGGGAAAGGACCCAGCAGACGTTGGCTATGGTCTTCAGCACGCGACGATATGAAACTCCATATCCCAAGGCTTCGATCGTGCCATCTTCTTGTTCGTCGACGTGATGGTCTTCGCGGGCCTCAGGATCCAAGTATTTCTTGGGAAGGTCGGCCATGTTTTGTCTTTTTTTGCGTGGTATAGGGAGTGTCTGCCGTTGTCTCTTTTATCCAGGATTCAACAGAGGTAACTAATAAGAGGATAATGATGAGAAAAGCTGAGAAGGAGTTTCCGAAATGCAATTGAGTCGGCGCAACACTTTCTTACATGGACGCCGAAGCTGTCGCCAAGCGAGCTGGAATTCGTTATCAAGAGAAAAAGCCCCGACGGCGACTATTTAACAGCGGGGGAGATAACACTAGAGGCCTTCTGGGTACCAGATAGCACTTGACGAAGCCCCGATCTTTCCCCCGCACCGCGCCAGGCCGTATACAGATAGCGCGCGTCTGAGGTGGCCAGATATTGAGGGGGTAGGACCACTCTGGCAGCAAATCACCCATCCACCCTTGAGACTGCCTATCTACAGGCCCTAACTAGTCTAGTCTGGGTAGACTTCGGCTGGACAAGCTGAAAGTTGTTAGTATGGGTCAGGCCCGAATCAGGTTGCCAATGCGTCGTAGCTCGACTTGCTATAAATCCCCAACTTGACATGTCCTGGCGTTCAAAGACGACCACTACAAACCCTGGCCTATCCACGCTAATCGCCTCAGACGGCGCACAGTTCCACCATGTCCTTCACAATCTTGCAGACCATGACCACCCAGGGGCCTACTCAGGCGACCCGTGAGCACATGATCAAGACCCGCGACGGGTTCCATCTCGCGACCGACATCTACATTCCAACTGGGCATGAACCAGATACCAAATACTCCGCTATCCTCTCCCGTACGTGCTACGACAAGTCCAGCGACTACACCGGCCTCAAGTTCGAAGCTGAATCCTTCAACGCCCGTGGATACGTCTTTGTCGCACAAGATGTCCGCGGCAAGTTCCGATCGACGGGCACTACTGTGCCATACGAGCACGACGTCGACGACGCGTATGACACGGTCGACTGGATCATCGCCCAGCCGTGGTCAAACGCCAAGGTCGGTCTTGTCGGCGCCTCGTACTACGGCTTCACAGTCTGGGCTGGCGTCGCCTGCGGTCACCCAGCAGTCAAGGCTGCCATCCCCCAGGTGACTGGAGTCGACATGGCTCAGTCCCACGTCGCTCCCAGAGTCAATTTCGAAATCCCCTTCCACGGGGCCTTGAGTGACATTCTTCAGATCTGGACCAACAATAAGGGCTACCTCGCCGAGATCGACTACCAAAAGCCTGCCGCCGAAATCATTGCTGATGCGGAAAAGACCATCGGCATCTCCAAAGCGGCCCAGAAGTTCCTCAAGCATACCCAGCACATGGCATGGTACAATCCCTACGGTGATCGCCATCCATATCATACAACCAGTATCCCAATTCTCCATTGGCAGGGCTGGTACGATCCTGGCCTGTGCCCCTTGGGTATGAGGGACTGGAGATACTTCCAGCGGCAGCCTTCCATGACTGGCCTTCACTACCTCCGTGTGGCTTCGGAGGATCATAGCACGTTCCGTCTTGAGGATGTCGGAAAAGGCCGCGATTTCCACTCCTACTTCAACAAAGATGTCGTCCGCAGAAAGCAGGCATTTGATCACCAAGAGATGGCCGACTTCTTCGATGAGCACCTCAATGGGATAGAGCCAGCCAAGCCTCGTGCCCGCGCGCGGTGGCATGTTGGGCACCTCGGCTGGCAGGAAACCCATCATTTTCCTCCAAAGACCGAGGCAAAGGTTTTCCATTTGACTCAAGGATCTGAAAAAGGGATCCATCGTCTTGACGAGCAAGGTACCAAAGACTCCAGCGTCTTGACTTGGACCCATGACCCTGAGAACCCGGTGCCTAGCACGCACGACATCGAGTCGATATGGTTTCTCCTGCTCTCCTACCCAGATGAGAGAGATCAAGCGGGCAGACCGGATGTCTTGGTCTTTCGCACAGAAGTATTACCGAGCGATCTCGTGCTCGTCGGACAACCTGTTCTCAGTGTACAATTGACTTATCCGGCCCAAAGTACGCACCTCTTCTTGAAACTCCAAGACGTTTATCCAGACGGTACTACGAGGCCTATTTCATGGAGCAGTGTAGTCCTCAGAAAGACTCAGCGGGAACAGATCAAGATTACGTTGGACGACAATGCGTACAGGTTTAAGAAAGGCCACCGTATACAGCTTCATATGGCTGCTAGTAACTTTCCTTACGCCGTGCCGCATCCTGGTACAGACGAAAACCCATGGACTGCTACTCGCAAGGTCAAGGCTGAGCACTTATTGCTCGTGGGTGGAAATAAGGGAGCTATCTTAGAGTTGCCGACTATAGATATTAGTACCTTATCTGTATCTGAACCTTAGGTTAGTAAATAAAAAGTTTATTTATAACTCAGGAAAAATTCTGAAATACACCGGTGTTCCAGTGACGGGGTGGAAGCAACTTGACAACAATTCATCGACAAAAGAGATCGCAGTAGGAGCAGGTGGAGGTGGAGTTTACCATATCCTCAAGACGGGGGAAATTTAGAGCTATGGTGCCCCGGACCTGGTAGCATGTAAACAGCTCGATGGAAACGCTGCGGCTACCAGCATTGCGATAGGAAAGTGGCCCCATCAGCTGCACAAGACGGGCCTTATCTGGCGCTGTACTGCGATGTGGTAGAGCGTTTTCTGGTTGTGACTATAGCATGAGCTGTGACCGGCTAGTGGCAGATGACAACTTCATGGGCTTTGTTCAGTCTATTTCTTTAGAAATTTAGAGACAAAGAGGCATCATTGACGGTAATAAGACCTTGATTTTGACTGGAAGTCAGCGACTAAGTATCCCAGAGCTATGTCATTGTTCCTCAATTTATGAAGCTCTCCTCTTTTTGCCTTAGCTTTGGGGCTCATGTCTGTATTTCTTCTCTTATGTGTTTATGAAGAGCTTAAATAAAGTATTCAAGTTTAATTTAATTATATAGCTTTACTCATACTAAAGCTAAGAAGCCTCGCCGTAAAGCATCGCATTCAACAATGCTTCTTTTCATCTTTATTCGAAGTTGCAAATGTGCCTGAATTCAAGCTACAGGGTAAGGCAGACCCACCGGTAGTGACTCCGGTTTCAGCTTCAGATTCACTTTCCTATCTAGGTAGTCAGCTCAAGGTGGAGCGCCAATCAGCAAGGAGCAATTCAGGTAAGATCTGCATGGGTCGGCAAGGGAACAAAGCCGATCGCATTGGAAAAAAGGGGGAGTAAAAAGAAGGAGAAGGAGCAACTCAACAGAGATAATACGGCCGTTGCACATCTACCGGCAAATCCCTAACTCAACAACCTTGTAACTGGGGGCAATTTTCGAGAGTGGAACTCGGAATTGCTTCCCACCGGTGCGCTAACGAGACTATTGATTTCGGCCTAAGTTTAGACAGCACTATTGATTGCAAACCGCACCAAATGGGGATTTGGCGTTGCTGTGCTCCAGAACTCAGCGCTTAGCACGCTCCCCAAGAGCAGACTCTTACATCCTCGGTTCGTCCCTTTTACCCATGTGTGCCCTGCTACGTACAAGCAGCCGGGTTCTCCCATGCCGCTCATCCTCTGCTCATATGACGATGGCTTCGCCTTTCCGCCTCTCGCCTGCCTGCGCCCGATGGCGTCCTCTCGTGTACCTTGCCAGTCGGACACTATAAGCACAAAGTGGCTGAGGGCGGCCCCGATGACCTCAATGGCCCCAACTCGTGCACCAGATTTAACAGTGGCACGTGGACTTGGTTCTATACCATCGAGAACCAGGATGCCTCCTTTGGCGACGCTAACAGAAACAACGCTGGCTATACTGTTATTGACGCTTGTCTTGTCGTATGACCGTTGGGCTTGGGTTGGCGAACGGCTGAATGGAACCGAGAATGGGCACTGGAGATGGAGATATCGAGGGTTTCGCTCTACCATACTATCAATCATTTGTTTCGCAGTCGACACTAGTACTTCAATCTCAATTGCATTTGCGCCAATACTATGACATTATGCTCATCGTCATTAGCCCTCCATAGATCTCTTTAATTCCTTGCCCGACTTGTCAATGGCCGGACTATCTTGACCAACCGTAACCCCGTCATAACTCTGCACTTCCAACTCGTGGGCATGGTTGGCACGATTGGCCGAGTCCACAGTTCTCAAATACGTATTCTTTCCCATAGTTACCCAAAACAACAAGGAAAGCAAGAGCATAATCCCAAAGACAGCAATGGCGTAATTCATGTCGCCAGATGTTGGATTGGGACCTCCTGGAAAGAAAAAGAACACAGTGGTGACTACGCAGTAAACAACCGAGATGCAATTGGCCACCGGGCCAAACTTTCCAAGGGAAAAGGTCCTCGGCGGAAGTTTATCGCGACCGACAACCAGAAGTACCACGATGGGGATTGCATAGGATATCGTGAGAGCGATAGTACTGACAGCGAGGACGGCAGTCAAAATAGTGGTTGAAAAGAGATAGAGCACCCCGATCAAAGAAATGATCAGGCATTGAAGCCAGAGTGCGCGTGCCGGGACTTTCCAGGTCGGGTCGACGTAGGCAAAGTATGAAGGGTAAGGTAAGCCGCCATCGCGGGCAAAGCCCCAGGTTAGTCGTGAAGCCGATGTAAGGACGCTGATACCCTGGCCGAAGCCGTTAAATATGAAGAGAGCAGTCAGCGCTGCGCCTCCAGCCAACCCCAAAGCATTCAGAAGAACTTCGACGAACGGGAATCCTGTGGGAGAATCGATGACTTGGTCGATGTCTTGGATGCCAAACAGGCATGCCACCATGAACAGAAACCCCGAGACGGCGCCACAGATGACCGAGAGATACATGGCTTTCGGAGCATTTTGTCGGGGAGAGGGGATTTCCTCGACCATGTGAATGACGGCGTCGAATGCAGTCAGTCCTACTCAAGTTAGATTTCATCACATGACGATTTCTAGGATCACAAACCATATGCAGCTTGAACAAGACCGGTAAACCAAGTGACTCCGTCAGGCCAGCCTGTTTGGTTGATCCAAGCCCCAAACACGAATGAGGCAGACTGGAAGCTAAGGTCTGGCTTCGTTCCAACAGCGATGACAATGGCCATACTGATAACGATGAAGAGCCCCACGAACCCGGCGCCGATGAAGTTGTTGAAGTATGGCAGTGTCTTATCGCTGCGACATGCGATGAGGTTGAAGAGGGTAAAAAAGATGGTGATGGCCACGTAGAGAAGAAACTGCACATAGCCTTTCGTAGCGCCATCCCAGTCGTTGTCGAAAATGACCTTCATGCCCAGTAACAGGTTCGTCATGAAGCTATTTTGCGAAGCTGTCAAAGTCCACCATCCCAGCGTGTTGACGGCAGCGCAGCAGTAAGATAGCAAGCGACCCGAAGGCCCGCTCCAAAGACGAGAAACCCAGTATGCCTGACCCAGGGCAGTTGGCATGCTACTGCAGAGCTCGCCCATTGAGGCTGCGACGCATAGGTTGCAAAAGGTGACGAGGCACAAGCCCCAAAAGATGCTGACTGGTCCTCCCGTTGTCAAAGCTGCGCCTAGGTTCTGGGCGAAGACGGCCCAGGTTCCGAGGACACAGAAAGCCATGGCCAGCATACTCACAAGACTAAACTTGCGAGTAAGTGCTTGCTCATGACCCAATGCAGCGAGATCCTGTGCATCGACTTCGTTTTGGAGCCGTCGACCACCTCTTGTGGGATCCTCAGCATCGGGCTGATCCATCGCTCCTTGATGTCCCATACTGCTCACGTCGATTTGGGGCAATCGGTCTGGGGAATAGAGTTGGGGGGTGATGAGACAGATCTGTTGTTGCAAACCGGGTTGCTGGACATCACCCCTTCTTAAGGGCTTGATCTAAGTGGGAGGCCTTGAGTAATGCTCACCCGTGCAGTCCATGATAAGCAAGCTGTTGCTGGTGGTTGGCGGATGGCCCTGGCACGCCAGAGTCAAAAGTGGTTAATCAACCGCAACCCCGCGGTCTGGGGTTTGTTGACACTTGCTCAAAAGGGTTAATCTGCCGCAAGCTCCAAGATGATCAACACATGTTACCTGTAATAGGAATTCTTACCAGCCATGACGGCAATTGACATCGTGGGGATAATTTTGATGTGTTATGTTGTCTTCAAGATTCTTATCTATATAAGCAGATCCGGAACAACCTTGAGACTTGTTCATCTCAGTCTTCTCATCTGACCTCATCATGGCGCCAACTATGCCACTCTGTCGTCTGCTTCTCGCAGCTGCATCTTGTCTTTCTGTGGTCTCTGCTTTCGCCACCAAGTGCAAAGGATGTGCTGCAGATACAGTCATGCTCAATGGGTCTATTTACAGCCTTGACGAGTTTTCATCCAAGCACAATGCAATGGCTGTGAAGAACGGTTTCATTACTTTTCTCGGGAGTGATGACGGCGTTCGGCCTTTGATCGGCCCTGACACCCTGGTATTCGATCTTGAAGGCCGGATGGCAATGCCGGGCTTGGTCGATGCTCACATGCATGTCATTTCGGGTGGTGCAGACCTCCTCAAGTGCAGCATGAACTACCAACCATTGGGACTCCAGGAGGCGCTCGACCATATCCAAGGATGCCTGGACTCGGACACTGACAAGAGTGACGAAGATTGGCTCGATGTCATCGCTCTCGACTATTACACCTTGTCCGATACCACCGGGGGCGTGACGAAGCGAGATTTGGACAAGCTCAAGACGAAGCGGCCTATCCTAGTCCAGTCAGCAGACCGACACACATTCTGGGTCAACTCAATTGCTCTTCGTGCCTCTTCCATCACAGCTGCGACTAAGAACCCTGCCGGAGGTGTGGTCGAACGTCTCCCTGGCAGTAAAGAACCGTCTGGAATTCTACAAGACAACGCAAGTGGCTTACTAGCCGGCCCTGCTCCCGCGACACCTGAAGATAACATCAAGTCTGGAAAGGCTGCTCTGAAGCTGCTTCGAGAGCAAGGCGTTACAGCTTTTCAGGATGCTGCTGCAGGCCCAGACGCTGGCAAGGTTTTTGCTGCGATCAAGAAAGAAGGGGGTCTTAGTGCTCGAGGATTCTTCGATTACCGAATCGATGCACCCAACTCGACGAAAGAGATCGATGCCTTGGTGGAGGACGTCCTCAATGTCACTTCGACCTGGAACGATCCCACGGAGTTGGGCCCAGATCCAACTCTTAAGTGGCATGCGGTGAAGCTGTTTGTTGACGGCGTCATCCTGTACCCAGCAAACACTGGTGCCCTTCTTGAGCCGTATTTCGTGCCAATGATAACGGGACCGCCTGGGAGCCTGACTCAAAGGTTGGACCTGAGCCATACTGGAGTAGAGAAATCCTCAGCGCAGTCCTCGCACCTCTCATTTGCAACCGCATAGACGCTCAGATGCATGTCGACGGCGACTTGGCAGTCCGTGTTGCCCTTGATGCCCTGGAGGATGTCCGCTCCAAGTATCCTCACCTGAACGACTATCGAATTGGGCTTGCCCATAACGAAGTGACTGACCCAAGCGACTGGCCTCGTTTTGCTGAGCTCAAAGCTGATCCCATCATGAGCTTTCAGTGGTCGCAAGCTAGCTCAGTTTGGCTTCCCAATGGTCTAAAGAGCATGGGACCAGTCCGTTCAAACTATCTTGAGGCTTGGGGAAATATTGCTGCCTTTGGCTCCCGGATTGTATACGGAAGTGATTGGCCGGTAAGTGTAATCCTGTTAGTTGGAAACATCCATTATCTAACCTACCGTTGCTATAGATTGACCCACTCGATGAGTGGCTTGCGATCAAGGCCGGCGTCACCCGTTCTGGCGATCCGACGAACCCCAACTCCCCAGCTTCGCAGGGTGCGCCGTACAACGGCACGGGTATCCCTGGCCTTTCGCTCACCCGTGAACAAGCTATTCGGGCCATCACGACAGAGAGCTCGAGGTTCGTCAGGGCCGATCGATACATAGGCTCATTGGAGGTTGGCAAGGTTGCAGATGTGATCATCCTACAGTCCAACTACTTTGAAGTGCCTGACGAAGAGATTGCTCGCCAGAAGACTTTGGTCACCATGGTTGGCGGCGAAGTTGTGTACATTGCAGAGGGCGTCGATTTTGGAAATGGTGCTGTGGCAAAGTTTCCTAACAACGACACCGTTAGCCAGACCATGACGAGGAGAAGCGTGGGAGGCATCCAAGGCAGGTCTTTGTCTGAAGAGGGGCGGGAGTCAATGCGCAGATTGGCTGTTCACAATGCCTGCGATCATGGAGCCGACCACAGGCATTGACCGCCAACTTGAGAGGGGCTGTGGTTGCCAACTTAGTGAATCTGGTGCAGCCCGAGACAGTGTGCCCTGCGGGTATGTACATGGTGAGGTTAAACTATTTCAGTGGGCGTCTTGGACATGTCGAATTTGTAGGAATCAAACGATCCATCAAATCCAAGGGACTCTAGGTTTGCTCTAGTGGGCGGGATAGACACAAAACGGGTGAAACCATCCGCCAAGTCACATTTCCGGATCATCCGTGGAAGCTTGATGACGGCTTCATGCCTCCACAAGGCAGCCCATGATAGCGGGCTCCGACCACAGCTGTCCTCCGACTCGGCCTTGACGGCGCCTTAGCCTTGTAAGTATTTATAACTTCCGGGCTCTCAATAGTACGACCAGCCTAGTCACGGTTATGCCAACCTCAAGCCGAGGCGAGCGTGGCGGTGGGGGCGCCAGAAAGTATGGTGTCTCGCCCCCAAGCGCGCCTCCTCACGATGCGCAGAATACGGTGATCGCTATTGCTCCATTAGCTGCCCGCCTGCCCAATGATATGTATGACATATTCCAGCAGTTGTTTCACATTGCGCTGTCGAGATCACCAACGGAGTGTCCTTTAGCGACACGGGTCATACAGAATCGAGTTCCAAAATCCATGCAATAGCAGGAACGATCAGTTACCGGCTTTTGGCTCAGAAGTCCAGATACCCCAGCCGAAGTTCCCGGGGTCTAGAGGAGGCTATTTAAAAAAGAAAAACTATAAGAGATACAACCAGAGATAGGAAGGGAAGGGAGTTCAATAACACACAGAAAAGCAAAAGAGAGGAGGAAAATGTAACTGCGTCGGAGTATCATCCTCCCGCCTCTCTTCTGACTTTGCCAAAATACTGTCCCATTTCATTCTTAAACTCCCTGAGGAGCCTACCCGTTTTGTGAGTGGGTTTGTTGATTGAGCCAGCTAACATTCCTTGATACCGTTTGCCCCTCCAAAATTTGAAGGACTTGTAGCCGAATTCTTCCAGCAGTTCAAGCACCTCCTGGCGCCACTTTGCTCCCTCCGGGCCATGGTCCATCGACTCCGAATCGGCTACGGCCTCGAATATTGGCCGGTCTCTGGCCGTCTTGTACCAGTGCGGACTCGTCTCCAGGATGAACCGGATGATCTCGAGTCTACCCGTCTGGTAGGAGTACTTGGATGGAGAGAACCCATGCCTGAAAAGGGGGGCTGGATCAAGGTCGGACCCAAAAATGGCGTTCTCGAGGATGGAAATTCTGCCTTCTTTTGGGGTGAGAAGGGAGGGGTCGTCGTTCAACTTCTTTTTGACATAGTCGACAAAGCCGGCGCTGGCTACGATTCCGACGAAGCAGTTTTCGACCTCGGAACCATTGCTGCTTTCCCGCAAGAGCCAATGCCTGGTTGACCATCCTTCTGGTGTCGAGTTTTTTTCCCGTTCAGGCAAGCTCCGGCCCTGGAAAAAGATTTCGTATCCCTGCTTGTGAACGTAGTCCATGGCTTGGGTGAGCCGGGCACTGAGCTGGCTTATCCTGTCTGAGGTGGCGGCGTGGTAGAGCCTAGCTATAAATTGGAACACGACGTCGGCTAAGTCAACAGGTTCGAAAGCTATGCCATCATCGCCTGCCCTCACCACTACCTGGAGTTGAATGTGGGCTTCTAGGAAGTTGAGATGTGGCTCAAAGTCTGGTGGTGCCTTGGAGCAGATTTTGGCTCTCGTCGAATCGTCTTGAATCCAATCTGCCGCTGACCGGTGTAAGAACCGCACTTCGCCCTCCACCAGCTCGCATATTCCTCTGGTGTGGCCGTCGAGAACTCGCTTCAACACACTATTGATTCCAGAACTGGCGGCGGGTTGCGGGTTGAGATTGTGAACTGTGGCAAGCCACATGATCTCCGCCGTGCAGGATCGCAATGAATCGCCGCAGACCTGCAAGACCTGCAAGATCTGGGAGGACCGACACTGTCTTTCGGCTGGGATAGATCTCCATATCGCATTGTATAGGCCGACGATGTCACTGGGGATCTCAGCGAGCATTCGATTGAGGTCGCCTAAGGATGGATTGTCAACCAGGGTTAAGAGGAGATTACGAACTACGAGGCTAACCCAGAGGAACACGCCCTGGGCCTTTTCGATGATCTCCTCGATTATCGACGTTGCGTCATCCTGAAAGGCTTCCTTCATCTCTTGAAACGCAATGCTTTTGTCGAACTCTGTGCGGACAAAGTGAGCAATGTCCCTCCTCGAGAGATTCTGCATTGTTAGAGAGGGTTCTCTCCCGAACGCATCCGCAAATATGTTCCAGGGGCGACTTGAAACGCATATCTTGATGCCATATTGCGTTGCTGCATGGCGTATCCAGCTGATTAGGACATCGGGAGATTTTTCAGATTCTTTGAACTCATCGAGGCCGTCGATGAAGAGGGCTAATCGGAATTCTTGTCCGTGGAATGAGCAGAGAATGTCAAAGGACTCACTCAACTCCTTCCAGGTCCACTCTGGCGCAACGGCTTCGTCTCCCAGCACGCTGTACAGTGCCCATCGCCGGGGTGCCACAACAGGGATAAGGGCTGGTCTCTCTTTCAAGCACTGGTGAAGAAGTGTCCGAAGGAGGCCTTCTCTTGACGTCTCCATCTCTGCGCCTGGATTCCAGAAGAAGAAGCCGGCTTGCAAGCAGGGGAGGTCTCCCGCGTATTCCTGGAGATGAGTTTGCAGCTCTGGATTGTTGATGATGTATTTCATCAAGGTGGACTTGCCAGACCCTGGCTTCCCAGTGATCCAGTAGATCTTGTCATCTCTTTGCTTCAGCCACGTTGGAAAGCTTGGCCACTCGAGTTGCTCCCCGTTCTCATCCGTCTCAGAATCTCGAAAGATCCAACTGCATGTGCTGGTGTGAGCTTCGGGGATGGCTTCCTTTCGGGAGTTTATCTGTCGAAACGAGAGACTTGTCAAAATCATCATCGGTATGATGCCATCGACGTGGGTATGACGGGCTGGTTGGGAGTCGACAAAGAGGCCTCCCCCATAGATGGCTGCCCATGATTTCCAGTCCATCTCCCATAGGATATGAACGAGATCCTGGTTCCTACGGCTGAGGTGGTCTGCCTTTTTCGGTGTTGTCATTTGTGAGAGCTCGCTAGCGATCTGATCTAGTCGATCCTTCAACTCCTTGTGTTTCTTGTCATCTTGTTCGGACTCTGACCTATGATGATGTTAGTTGGATACTCAAATTGTCTGTCACTCCCTTACAATACGGAAATGATTCCTGCGACGGTAATTTGGGAACGGATCTCTGTCAATTCCTCCTTCAGAGACTCAATCTCGCCCTTCTTCCACACTGCCTTGAGGGCCGATGCGAAGCTATTGGCAGCTGTACTGATTCTGCTATTTTCAGACCTATTCGCCTGCAAATCGCGAATGGCCGAATGCAGCTTGTGGCTAGCTTCGATACATCGCACCGAGAGGCTCTGCAAAGTCTTGTCCGAGGTGGCAGCTGAACTGGGCGCCTCTTGAAGGCGATCTTGAAGTTGCTCCCCGAGGCCGTTCAGCTCTTCTGACAAGGTTGACAGCCCCACGTCGCGTGCAGTGTAGCCAGATGCTGACTGGTAGATTTCGTAGGTGCTGGAGAGGAGCCGACTACCAAAGTCGACGATGCCGATGATGGCGGATGCCGTCTGGAGGGCGGTTATGGGATCCATGATTGATTGAGATGATAGTAAACAGTAGCAAGAGTGGCCTGATTTCTCCGTTGGGCAGCAGAGGGTAGAGGGTTGAAAACGCAGCCTGGTGAGGCTGATGAGCCAAGCACGCCACTCAACAGGGGTTGTACAGCTGCTCAGCCCCTTCGAGGAAAGCAAGGCACATTTGAGGTTGAGTTGAAGATTTGAAGACCATGATTCTAACTGTTCTGTTGAGAATGGAGTCGTCGTTGAACATGATGAAACCCAAGACAGTACTATGCTGGGAGGCTAGGGAATCGAGAACACACCATATTATCCGTACACGCTAGGGAGATCTCGCCAATGGCTCCGGTAAAGAAAAGCTAAGATCCCTTGACCCAAGACTTGAAAATGTTCATAATGTCCTTGCTGGCCGCTGAGCAACAAAGGATCAAGAGGCAAAACACCAAAAAGGAAATCCTGTGTATCACAGGTGGCCGGATCTCTCTCCCGCCGGGAATTGAACCCGGGTCTCAAGCGTGACAAGCTTGCATACTGACCACTATACTACGGAAGATTGCCAAGTGTTGATGCACTTGGTGTAGGGGGGGGTGAGGTCAGGTGTCTCAATTCGAGGGAAATATACCCGTTACCAAATGCGGTGTTTTACGTTTCCATGCCTGGGGCGTAAGCGAGATTACGTGGCCCGTGCGTATCTAAGCGCCGCGGATCAACTCCTCCGCTTAGAGCCGATTGGCTAAGCTTAGCTCTGTGATAAATCTGGGGCATTCTGACCTCTTTCCTTTGCTGAAGAACGATACTCTTTCAACTTCAATTTAACGTTTGCTACTATGAAACGCAATGTATGAAACGCAATGACATTATGTGATAACTATATCTCTTAACATTGCGGCTAATGGTTTGTGACAGCTCCTTATTGAAAACAACAGCAAGAATTCTCACAGTTCGTTGGCAGCCAAGCGAGTCCCGGGTAGCTTATCCAAGGACATAACAGTCTGACTGGGAGTGACAACTAAACAGTCCCGTTGATGTATGTACTTTACACAGATCCAGCCTTTGAATGAAATAAATGGATATAGACATAGTAAATGGGCAATATAAAAAAAAAATTTAACGGCTCAAATTTGCCCTAGGTAGTTTTGTCCTTCGCCCGTAGTTCCCCAACAACTCATCACCATGATCACTACCGTCTTCGATGTGGAAGGCGCCATTTTCGCGGTCTTGTGGCGCCATCTCTGACGCTGTTGCATATAGAACACTCTGCATAACAATTCCACTGACGAATGTCTTTATTAAAAATTGAATTGACCGCAGCCCTGAGCGGCACCATCACAGCATCAAGAGTGGTAAATGGCATTCGTACCAATCATCACAAAATCGGCTATTTGCCAATCCATACGGAATCTTCATCATCTGATACAGCGTCTTGAAAAGGATGTGTGTTCAGCCAATTCTCTGCAGTCTCCTTTTGGGCATGCTCGGCATAGAACTCATCTAATGATTGATTCAGTTCTGTGAAAGTATGAGCCTTGTGATTCGACAAGATAGACCAGAAGCGTTAAACCTTTGAGCAACATGCCACGGGATGGCTGGAGCGAGAACCTGGAAATGTACTCGTTGATAAGAATGAGATGGCTGGGAATGGGCGTTCCTATGCAATTTGCGTCAGGTCCTACGGCGGTGACGGTACAGCAAGTTGTTCATACCCTTAGAAATAGTGTAAATAAACGGCTTCTCAACTTGACTGCCCTCGTCTTCGCGATCAAGAACTTCGTCAAAGTATCCACGAACAAGCTCCTGCATCATAAAGGTATTTGGAAACATGACTGCGCCGTTGGAAACTATCAACAGGTTCAGCACTCGTCTGTTGACGGGGCAGACCAATTCACTAACCAGATCTCGTGTCGATGGCCGGATATACGAGGCCATTCTTCTCCACAGTCACCCCTTCATCATAGAGGTCGTTCGGCCGGTCGTTGCTCTCTCTGTGGTCGAACAGGGCCGAGGTGGGACCTGGGGAATAGTAGTCCAAGGTAGCAGGGAAAGAGGAGTAAATTGCTTTCGCTGAAAATTGTCGTCTAAGTAATAAGTGCGGTTGTCGGTGGGAGAAGACGGAGCTCCGAAGACGCCCAAGGACTGCGAAAGGGTGACGGTTCATGTTGACGATTGGTTTTGGCGGGATCAACTTGGCGCTTCGCGTATTAAAAGATGACGACGGGATTCGGTTTAAAATTTCGCCGAAGTCAGTTGCGATTGGCTGTCTCTCAATGGAGTGATTTTCTTGTTCAACTCTGTATTCACCAGTTGGCCAAGGTTGATTTTCCATCTTACAAGCATCACGTAGCTATAAGCAGCATTTCGACCGCAGGTTGAGGGGAATAGTGATCGGAATGCTCATGAACAAGAATCAAGTCGTCAGGCAATGGGTTACCTTGCATTGCGAGCACATCCATCACGGTTGGATTGCATACCCTGATAGGTAGATGGGCCCGAGGCTTTTCGTTTAACTATTCCGGCTTTAGATAAGACATCGAGGTTTTTGCTTCTTCTTGGCGAATGCTCCGGAAGCCACTCGAGCCAACGCCCATCTGGTCCATTTACGTCCTTCGCCCCTTGCTTTCCGAAGTTTCGGTAGCTTTTGGGTACACTTCCAGCCACTCCTCCCTTGCGAACACCATGGCATTGTTCATCAAGAATTGCGTTATCTTTGTGTTCAGGTCTAAGTGCAAGAGTTTAGTCTTCGAGAGCCGCATCCTAAATGGGGGAGAACTTGCCGTCAACTGTCATTGCCATTGCTGGCTGCAGGGAGTAGTGGTCTGACCGCTCGTGGACCAGGAGAAGGTTGTCAGGAAGTGTGGTTCCTTACCGCGGTTTTCAGTATTTGCACATGTTTGCTTGTTTGTAGTTGGTGGGGAGATGGGGCTACCAAGCAGCAATGGAAGAATCGACCGCCGGCTCACCTTCAGGAACTGAATACACAATAGTATCGTTGCCTCGGAATCGCCATGATACTAGCGATTGCTGGTACTGTGAATTTGGGCGCAAGGATGCACCATTGGGAGCTAGGATATCAACAGTTAGTCGATGTAGGTGCGAAATACCTCGGTACATCCTTCTATAAGATTACTAACCTATATAACTAGATGGGTTGAGGGCCTTTGGTAGAGCGAGTCCATTTTGCAGGACAATATCGTATATATGTCGATTGGGTCTCAAGACGCGCAACTTGACTAGAGGGTCGTTATTCACCCGAAATAGTTCCTTGGGGAACTTCTTGAACAGGGAAATTAAATTTGAGGTCGACATTCTGGTCTGATCTGGTTCTGTCGTTATGGAATCGACGTTACTTCCATGGGCTCGGGCTTTCATGTTCAAAATCACGCATGGCTAAGAACAGAAGCTTATCCTCTTATATGTGTGTGTGCCTTAGGCAATAGCGCTGACGGATTCTGCGGCTGAGTGAATGACAGGGGTTTTACACCATCAATGAGACACGCCATCAGGCTCTAGGTGAAAGAGAAATTTCACCCCTACTGTTGAACCAAAGCTATCATGCATATACGAGTATGCACAGAGGGTTCTGCACTGCGTTTTAGCAGAACGAACTGCGGAATTAGTTAAGGCAAGGTTATATAATATAGTACCCTCTAAATAGGAATAACGCAAGGTATTAGCCTAAGAGAGAGGTAAGAGTTATATAGATAGGCTTAATTAATTAATTTATTAAATATAGGTTTAATAATTAAGAGTCTTAGAATTATTTTTCTTTAAGGTAATTATAATTACTAAAATAAATATTAAATTAATAAAATTAACCTTAATATTAATATTCTAACTATAATATTATATTCTCTATCGCGAATATAAAGACTTATTTTCTAAATAGATTAAATAACTAAGATTCCTTTAAATAATCTTATATTATAAAGATAACTATAGAATAAATATATAAGCTAGGCTAACTTAATAACCTAAGCTAATTTAATACTTTTTATAAGAAAGAATTAAGGAGATTAAAAATAAGTAATTACTTAGCGAAAAAAGGCGATATAATTAGGATATATAATATAAGATTTATTTAAAGTAATTACCCTATAATCTTATTTATTAAAATAGTTTTAAAGGATTAAGAGGTATATAAGGTAAAGCTAGCTCTTTATTAAAATAATCTTAAGTAATATAATAAATAAGTAAATAATATTTATAATATACTTAATTAAATAATTAAAAAGATTAATCTATATTATATTAAGATATATTTATTAATTATAAATTAGGTAATTAAGTATAATAATATTATAAGCTTCTTTTTTAACCTAAAAGTAACTTATAATATTAATAATAGCCTAAGAAAGAAATAAGCTTAGAAAGGGTATTTTAAGGTATTAAAAATAGCCTTAAATAATAAAATAAACTAAGAAAATTAGATTATTAACTAAGAAAAGTTAATATAAATTATAAAGCTTAGATAAATAATAAAAATATAATATCTTAATATTTAATTTAATAACCTAAAAGAAGCTCTAAAATATTACTTTAAAATCTTTTTTTAGATTAAATAAGGTTAAAATAAAAAAAAGATTAAGAATAAAACTTATTTATTATTAACCTTTTTTATATAATTCTAATAAGAGATTTAAGATAAGAAAAAGAGAATTAATAAAGCTATAATTAATTAAGTAATAAAAGGGAGCTTTAAACTAATATTTTAAGCCTTACCCTCTTAAGATAAAAAGCAAAGCCGCTTTTTAATATAAGAATTAAAAAAAAACTCTTTAAACTACTTATTTATATAAGAGTTAAGAGAAGATTCTATTAAGTAGCTATATTAGTCTCTAGAAATATAAGAATAATATATATTATATAAAAAAGGATATAAATACCTAAATATATCTTTATATTAGGTAATATTCTTAAAGAATACCTTAAAGAAGTTCTAATTATTAAAGAGATAGCTAGAC